CCATGCTCAGTCCAAGCCTTCTTTCTCTCTAGCCGGGAGCCTACCACCACTCAGCACGAGCCAGAAAGGCGACCAGACACCGGTGGGGAAACGCAGGCCCTGCGGGCGGATGTGTACCCACTGGGTCAATGCTCATGGCCCTGTGGGGTCCCCTCTGGACTCAGAACAAAACTGGCCCGGCCCACTCTGGGCCAGCCCACCGCTCCAGGCCACCCTGTCTGAGCCCCAGACTTAACGACCAATTTATTTTCAAAGCATCGTTTCCTTCCTTGCAATTCATTTCAGGATGTTTCCGTTAGGAAAGGCCTCTCTGGGAGCCTCCAATAAATGAAAGAAAATCTGAGGACCATCCTGCAAAGGGCCCCTCCCTACCTAGGAGAGCGCCCCTCCTTCCCAAGCCTCACCCCAACACCTCATTCCCGCCCTCCCCAAGCACACAGGGTCCTGTCCAACCCTCTGCAGAATGCTAGTGGCTGCAGAGATGGGCTTCGTGGAAGGTTCCAGGCCCTTGGGGTGACGGCAGTGCTCAATGGATAGGGACAAGGGCGTCTCTCCAATCACCTGGGTGGGCAATTGTCTGTGGGTATTGTTCTGGGCACCAGTGTTGGCACATGACATTCAAGACTTGAAGGCCCCCCTCACCCCTGCCCCCACGCTCCTAATTTCTCAGCACTACAAAATCCTCTGGAACTTGGACACAAGTCCAGGGAAAAGGGGATCCTCAATAGACTCAGATTAAGTTTCTGCCACTCCGTAATGGCGGGTTTGGGTAGAAATCTAGTTCAATTTGAGAAGAATAAAAAAGAAAGTTCCTATCATACATTCCGAGTGAGCCGACTAAGATTCACTCCGTATCTTTAGACAAAAGAAAGGAAAAGTCTCCACGTCTCCGCTGTGCCAGGGTATGGGCTGCCTCTCTGTCGGGACCCACCATACCCTCCGGCGGAACGGGCCGCACGCCTTACCGGTGTCCTTGCCACGTCCCCGGGGCACCGCTGAACCCCGTGCCAGCACCACACCCTGTTCCGCTCACCTCCGAGGCCCAGGTCACTGTCACCTCCTCCAGGGAGCCCTCCAGAGCCTCTGGAATAACAAGGACGGCCACCCCTACGGGCTGAGCGCTTCCCCACAGAAGGTCCAGGGCTGACGGCTTTACCAATACTCATCTGAGTGCCAGGACAAAGCACCGCCCCGGACGGCAGGGTGACACTGGCCTCCAGAGCCCACCCACCACTGCCCGCCATCTGTCCAATTCAGCTCAGCCGGGAAGCGGGATGACCATCGCCACCTGCCCGACGAGGAAGCGCAGGCGCAGGATGTGCAGGGGTGAGCCCGGTCGCACGGCTAGCAAAGGGCGCGGGGATTGGAACTGGGTCTCTCTGAACACCAGCCCGTGCTTCCCGTGGCTGACACGCTGCTCAGAGATCACCAGCTATTCCTCCACACGCCAGGGCCCCTGCTCACGTTCGCCTCCCCCGAGACCTGAGGTCCTGCTCCAGTATCCCCCCCGCCCCCCCATGCTGGCCGGTGTCAGGCTTCCGTGATTTTCTCATGGAAGGTTTGGAACAGCCCTTTCTGGGGCAGGATCAGCACTCAGTGACCTCCAGTGAACCCTCGGTCTCCCGTGAGCCTGGGCACCTGCCCAGCCCAGCATGACAAGTGGCAGGAGCAGGCTCGGAGCTGGCCGACGAGCCAGTCTGCCTGGTCCCTCCAGGCTGCCACCCCGTCCGGCGTGCCAATGCCTGGAAAGGTGCTGGCAGTTCCATCCCTGAGGGCCGGGGCCAGGGCCACGTTCCACCGCCTCTTCCAGGCAGCCTGCCATCTCCTCCCACACCACGTGGGCGATAAAGCATTTCCAAGGCCTTTCTCCGCACACAGAGGAGGCAGAGGGAAGGCCAGTGGGTCGGTGGGAAGGCCGACTGGCACAGTGTCTGGGGGTTGGTGGCTGAGGTTCAAGAAGCTCTCAAACAGCAAGAGGAGCTGCAAGCTTTCTAGTTGGAGAATGAGGCCCGGTCGGCGAAAGCGGCCACCCCCGGAAGGACCCAGGAGCCCTGTAGTCTGAGCGACGGCGGCTGGCCGGCCCTCTGCCCCAAGGGTGTCTCTCTAAAGCCTGACCCGTCACTCTGCGGTGACTGCTCTGAGTTACGTACTCCCTGCCCGTGACCATGGCCTCCTGATAGAACGCAGGGAGCCAGCAGTTCCCTCACTCCCGGTGCGCCACCCCAGGGAATCACCGATGCTCCCGCCGTCCGTAAGCCGGGAACAGAAAAAGTGCCAGTGCCAAGCGCCGCACTCGCACCCAGCACACATCAGGAGTCGTGACTTTTCTCTGCTGCTTTCCAAACTCATTTAAAATGCATAAGCCCCTTTCAGTCCTCCAGGGGACCCTTCCTGCTGGGGAGGGGGCGCTGGGAGCAGAGGGGAGGCCGAGGGGCGCCTCGCTACGTTTCTAGTCTTCATCAGCAGAGGGAAGGTTGGCCACGCTTCCTGCTGCTGCTTATGGGATCGGGCCAGCACTGACACCAACTTGGGCTGAAACCCAAGTCGGGGCAGGCAGTGGCAGGAAGCTGACTCAGGGGCCCCGGCACTGATGTCTATCAGCCCTGGAGCCAGGCGAGTGATCCACAGGCTGCCTACCACGGTCCTGGAGCAAGGCAGCTCCTGGAGGGCGAGGCAGCTGGGGGTTGGGGGTAGGGGGTGGGGCGGTGGGAGAGTGGCTGGTGGTGCCAGGGAAGGTGTGTTCTGGTTCCCAGGGCCAATGCTAAGGGAGTTGTGTGCCCAGCCAGTGTGGGTCAGTGGTTGAATGTTGATTTATGAACCAGGAGGTCAAAGTTTGATTCCCGGTCAGGGCATATATTATACCCAGATTGTGGGTTTGATCCTTAGTAGGGGGTGTGCAGGAGGCAGCTGATCAATGATTCTCTCTCATCATTGATGCTTCTATCTATCTCCTTCTCCCTTCCTTTTCGAAATAAATCCTTTCTAAAGAAGAGGGAATGTGCTAATTGACTGCCCCGCCCTCAAAGATGGCGGTGCCCAGTCCCCTCAGTCCCATAGGGGTGCTTGCCTCCAGAGTCCCCCAGTTCCCTCAGCCCCCTGGCTTCCCAAGGCTGCCCCGAGGCACAAGCAAGCCTCAGATATCAGCTGCCCAGCCGCTCAGGGCTGGCCCAAGGTGCAGGCAAGCCTTGGATGGCAGCTGCCCAGCCGCCCAGGGACACCCAAAGCTCAAGTAATCAGGGCCGGCTGAAGCTTGCACTGCCAGCAGTGGCAGCAGCAGAGGTGTGATGGGACATCACCTTCCCCTGATGGCCGGGTTGCCTCCCACCCCTGAGGGCTCTCGGGCTGTGAGAGGGGGCAGGCTGGGCTGAGGGACCCCCCTCTGGTGCATGAATTTTTATGCACTGGGCCTCTAGTAAGAAAAAAAAAATACACACACACACACACACACACATACACATATATATATATTCAAAAAGGCTTAAAAAGAGAAGGGAGCTGTACAAGTCCATAGGCCTATGATGTTCTCATGAGCATTTGAGCATTCATGTACCCGCCCTGCCGTCCCCAGCCTGCTTCCTGGTGAACCTCACTTCCACTGTGGACATATGAATTAGGGGCCCCCGGTTCCACCTCTCCCAGAGGATGGGCCTTTAGGCCACATGCTCGGCATGTGGGGTGACACATCGCTGAAACCCTGAGCTGTTTCCCCCCTGCATCCAGCTCTCACACCTAATTCATAGGCCCGAGGCGTTCACGCGATGCCTCCTCCGTGTTCACTGCCGAAATCCTCGTCCTGCAGCACAGCTGGCCCCGGGAGGGCCTTGGAAAGGTGTGTAAGGTGAACCCCCAGGAGGCGGGCCTGACCCCCAATCATCTTTGGTCGGGGCCACCATGGCTGCTTTTTGCTACCACTTCCCCCATCTCCACCTTGGAAACGTCATCGGCCGTTTTCACACCTCCGAGAGCTCAGGGAGTGGGGTTACCAACCAGATACCTCCTTTCCCTCCCCTCTCCAAGACTTGGCTTCTCCTGAGGCCCAACGGGAGCCTTCCTTTCCAGGAAACCTTCCCCCGTCACCCCCACTCTCACTTCCCTCCCTGGGGGTTCCCCGCAGCCTGACAGCGGCTGCCACATCCCTACGCCCTCAGTTTGATGGCCTCCTGACCCTTCCCCAAAAGCCACCGAGCCAGGCCTGGGCACAGGGGGCGAACAGCTCCCGGGAGCAGGGCCAACGCCAGGCGGGTGAGAGCCACGCGCTATGACCAGGACTGTGAACCAGACCCCAGGGCGGCAGGCTTTCTCTGGTGTGGGCCTGCCGTGGCGGCTCACCCACTCCCTGCCCAGCGACACAGGCCGGCTGGTCTCCACGCCCGCAGTGACTTCTGGGTAGGCACGGTGTGGGGTGAGATGGCAGGGCTCCCCCTGTCTCTCCATACACAGGCCCTGGCCAGCCCGGGGTGCTCACGGGTGGCGATGCTGTCCCCACAGGGACAGCCTCTGCGCATTAAGCGTTTGGGAGGTGCAGGACAGCCATGGAGGAGATGGAGGGGCTGGGTGCCTTGAAAGGGGTCAGGAGAGGCATTGTGCCATCTGAGGCTGGGCGGGCGCCCCCTCCATCTCACCGCCAAGCTCTCCGAGGTTAGAAACCCCTGCCACCAACCTCAGCTACTCACCAAAGGCAACCAGGGCCCTTCCACCGGAGGGGTGAGGGGCACAGACCCCCATCCTTCCTCCAGAACTCTGGCTGCGCAAAGCTTAAGTCACAGGTGCTACCCACTACCCCTTCCTCTGCCTCAGGTTCCAGCGTGGCCTTCCTGCCTCCTGCAATGGTGCCCAGGGAGGTGGGAGACAGAAGGGCAGAGGCCTGGCTCCTGCTTCAGGGCACCACCACCTATGTCCCTCAGCTAGCCTGGCTCCAGCTTTGGCCCCAGCACCATGGCTGGCCCCCCATGCCAAGCAGCTATTCCCCACAACGCCCTCCGCCAGCCCATGGCTCTTACCAGGCTTTGGGATGAGTCCTTGGAAAGGCCTGGAAGAGAAGCAGAGAGGGGAGTGTCAGGGGAGGGGCTGGGAGCTCATTAGAAATGCTCGGGGCACGTCTAAGCCTACGGCATCAGGATCTGCCATTTGAACAAGAGGGGCTGTGTGATTCGTGTGCCCGGGACACTGCGCAGAAGACGGTGACCAGGGTCTCCTGCTGGCTCTGCCCTGGATGGATGTGACCTCGGGCAACAAGTTGTCCCTGTCTCCTCTCCTCTGAAGTGGGCCTGATGCCTCTCCCAGGGGCTAGGAGTGCAGTGGGCAGGTGCTGTGGGCAGGTAGAAGGTACCCATGAAGGCTGTGCCTGCTATAGTGGTTATGATGTGGTGGCTGGTCTCACCTCTGGAGGCCCTCTGCACCCCGGCTGGCCTGCAGTCCTCCCCCCAAGCCCCCAGGACCCAGGATGACGCTGGGACAGCTGCACCGTCCTACAGGGAGGGCAGGACCACCCAGAGGAAAGGCCAAGGGTCCCCTGTGCAAGCCCCCACCCGCGCTACCATCGCCTCCTCACCCGGCCTCTTCCCCCAGTACCTGGTGACTGTGAACTTGATCTTGTCAGCCACGGCGAGGATCCGCTCCAGGTTTTGGGAACCAAAGGTGCAGGGCTTCCGGAACGGGATTCCCGGGGGCAGCCCCTCAATGATCACTGAGCCGGGGTTACTCTTGATGCGCTTGTAGGGGACCTGGACCGGGTACTTGATGCCCAAGGCTTCCCCTGCGGATGACGGACCGACGGAGGAAGGGTCATTGGGAGCCAGAAGCACTGGTGGTGTGAGGATGGAGGTGTGTGTGGGTGCTTCGTGTGAAAGAAATCTGCCATGTAGTACCAAGGGAAGGCACCATCCGTGGGGGACTGGGAGGGAGGGGGCCTCGGGGGCCAGGTATGTGAGTCTGAGGAGCGGGCAGGGGACGAGTAACTGCGGCTGCTGGGGAGAGGGCAGTGGCTAATAATTCTCACCCAAGAATCTGAAAGCCCACCTAGAGCAGTGTTCCCCAAAGTGTGGTACGCGTTACCCCCAGGGGCACGGGAAGAGTTTGGTGGGGGCACGTGTTGCACCGGAGTTTGGTGGGGATATGCACTGCACCGTGCTTAGCTGCGCCTAATTCTACGTTCTCATGAGTACGAGGGGTACTCAGCGTTACGAAAATTATAGAAGGGGCACACATATGTCAAAAGTTTGGAAACACTGACCTAGAGGAGGTACCTTGTGAGCACAGCTGCCCTTCCCACAATGCCTGAGCACATCTTAGTGCCGCCCACTTTCCTCCAGGACCAAGAGCTTCACTCTGGCCTGAACTACCATCCACCCCTTGCCTCCGGCACCCATTCACTTTCTTCACTGTGTACTTCAAAAGCGCAAAGTGGCTCGTTATGTCACTCCTCCCAACAAAACACAGCGCTGACACCACAATCAGCTCCATGGGGTCTCTCCTCCCTCCACCTTCATCTCCACGTTTCAGCACGCTCCCCTTCTAAGGACAAGCCCCAGGGCCTTTGCACATGCCATTATCTCAGCTGGAATGTCCCTTCTTAACTATCATTCAGTTCTCTCTTCAAAGAGGCTTTCCTTGGCCCCCGATTTAAGGTAAGCACCCAAGCTATCCTCTCTGGAACAGCCTGCTCGTTTCCTGTAGGATCCTGGGAGAATTCCTCGTGGCCTCTAGATGCTGTGTCGTTGCTGAATGTCTCTCTTTTCCCTGACCCACAGGGCCCACGAGGGCAGAGACTGTGCATTCTCTTCATTGCTGCGTCTCCAGGGCCTGGTACCCGGTAACTGCTCCAGAAATACTTACAGGCGGACGAATGGGTTTCTAGAGGTGACCACGGCAGACCTGGGGAACTCCTGCCTCTTCTTCCCACCCTGCCCGCGGCCCTCCACCGCGGCGGCCGGGGCTCACCGTATTTCTTGTTGAACAGATCCTGGACCTGCTCCCTCAGCGTGTTGGCAATGTCGATCCGGGAGAGCCTGGCATCGTAATTCTCTGCAAAGTGAAAAGCAATAATGGATCGGGGCTGTTAAAAGGCACTTAGTGACTTTTAAGGACTATGATTTTCTAATTATGGGGACCTCCTTCTCTGGCAATTATCAGATCCTTGGAGTGAGGCCCTCGGGTCCTTCAGAGCTAACATCTCAGCAGAGGTGCGTGTTTTTCCGGGAGGACGCACACTGTGACAACAGCAACGAGCGGGAAATTGAGTTAATTGTTGACATTTGAAAAGCACCACAGAGATAAACAAGCCCGGAGGGAGAGACGCCATGAGGAGGGCCGGTTCCTGCACCACCTGTGCCACGGCGGGCTCGGAGCAGGGACACGCGAGCTCAGGTGACCGGGCGGCCCCCAGACGGGCAGGGAGCCGGCCTAGCAGCTCCCCGTGGCCACTCGCTCACCCCAAGAGGGTGTGTTAAGGAGCCTGTAGGCCAGCACGTGCCCGGGGGACCCCGGATGGGCCCCTGCTCAGGGGAGATGATAGCCTGGCACTGCCCTGTGAGAAGGGAAAGGTGAAGGAGTGGATCTGGACCCCAGTCCCCTATGAGGACTGGGTAGGAGGGGCCTTGGGCTGCGGCGAGAGACTCCAGTCCCCGCATCACAGAAAGTTCCAGCTGTCGGGGAAGGAGTGAGTGACGGCAGTGAGCAGCCCCCCTTTGGGATCTGGGTCCTACCGCTAGGGCTCCCCACCTCCGGGGCTGGCCCTCCTGCCACTGGTCTCCTTGACACGTTTTCTCCTCAGAGAAAACCTAGGGCCCACCTAGGAAATGCCCACTCACTCACAGCCACCCTAGGGCTGCCCCAATAGGCTCTCCGCCGTGGCTCCCTGTCCCCCCACTGACGCTATACTTGATCTCAACCGAACAGCTGAGAAGTGATGCTGCACCGCCCTCAGAGCCTGGCCGTCCAGGTTCTGGTTCTCAGGCATGGTCACTCTTCATGCTTCCCTTCCCTCCACACACCTCCTCCCATCCCTTCTTGGCTCAGCTACAGCTCCCCCTCTCTAGGGAGGGGGGAGGGGCGCACACGGGCCTTCCCCGCCCTTGCGACACCCCCTCCTCTGACTTCAAAGCAGCAAGAGCAAGGCTGACTGACTAATGCAGAGTGGGCAGGGCAGCTGACTTCCCAGATGGACAGTGGGCGGCTCCTGCACCCTGTGGAGCCCCCCCTTCACCCCCAAAACCTCCATGGAGTCTCTCACTCAAAGCTGACAGGCTACAGCCCATCCCTACTGCCAGCCCACCCTTACCCTCGCCCCAGGCCCTGGGGTTGTAGCCAGCCCCACCCCTAGTGTGGGCCAGGTCAAGGTTATGGCGCTGGGACAGTGGGCCCCTTCCTGAGCTGCAACCTTACCTTGAGAGCCCTGTCTCTTCAGGTTCCTGGCCACAAAAAGGTCCCCTGGATCCCTCTCTGGGGGCGGGGCAGGGGCAGGGGGCGGGGGAGAGAAGCCAGGGTGAGCAGGCAGCTAGCTCCTGAGACCCAGGGACAAAGGTGGAGCACACCCGATGGGGAGGGCAGTTGGGGAGTGTCAGGAGGGGACAGAGGAAGCAGGAGGGATGGTGGCAGAAGCCTGGGACCCCTCCCACACCCAGCCCGCACCTTAGCCCACGACCCTGTGCAGGGTACCTTGGCTGTCCGTGATGGGCTCTTTGACTCCTTCGGTGAGCAGCTCAGGCCTGGAAAATACAAGTGGGGCTATCACCAAGGTCCCACCAAGCCCCCTTCATCCTGCACAGGCCGCCCCTCTGAGCCTCAGTCTACACATCTGTGCAATGGGCTCTTCTGCCTTTGGACAGTCCAGGTCTGGGGCCCCTGCCCTTCTCCTTGCAGCCGTCCTGCTGACCCATGTGTGAGATCTGGGCCGGGTGTGTGTGTGTGTGTGTGTGTGTGTGTGTGTGTGTGTGTGCACGTGCGCGCGAATGCATCTGCGCTGGGCTCTGAGGATTCAGCCGGGAGTGAGACCAGCCGGGCCCTGGCCTGGTGGGGCTGTCAGCCTCACTCTCAGTTCCAGGACGCTGCATGACTGCCGCAATCCAGGGTCAGAGCGCGTGGCCTGGAGAGTCCCCAGAGAACCGGCTGTAAGTGTAGGAGCCACTGGGGATGACGATGTGGCAAGTTCTCGGAGGCACAAGGAAGGCCCGAGGTTTCTGGCTGAAACCTGAGAGCTGCCATTGCACTTTGGAGTCAGGGGCCTCGGGGTCCAGGCCAAGTCCTCCTCCACAAAGCCCTTCCCAGACATGAGGTAACTGCCCACATCCTTGAAGTAGCCACTGTTTCCATCATCCCATTCTCAGGACCAAGAGTCTGAGGCATCAGGAAGGTTAGTAAAATGCCCAAGGCCCCACGGCTCCAGGACTGAGTTCAAAAAAGCGCCCCTCTCCCCCTCACCACAGCTTCTCCAGCTGAGGGACACCCCCTCCCCACTCAGGCCTCTGTTTTCTCATTTCTTGAAATGAGACAGTAACCCTGTCCTGGCTCAAAGAGGGGAGCAGGCCTTACACATCCAAATCTGAGGAGACAGCGCAGACTGTGGGAGTCACGTTGGCCTGGGCCTCGAGGGTCCTGCTCCTGACCCTCCTCGGTGACGGTGGGACATCACTCTACCTTCCGCGCCTCAGCCTCCCCATGAGGAGGAGGGAGAGGTCGTGGAGGGGGATCTGAATACAGTCAGGCCTTTTCCAGCTCCTGAGATGTGGGCTACGGCAGGCTGTGCCTCCTCCCTTCTAGGCCCAGGAGCCCAGCCCTGTGCCAGGGACTGAGCGAATGCCGATGCCTGTTGCCAGGACAGGCACCAAGCCCTCATCCGCAGGCCGCCTGACCTGGGGGCAGAGTGCCCTGAGAATCTGGCCTCTGGCCTCTGGCCTCACTCCCTGGCAGGGTCTCTGTCTCTGCTTGGCCACGTCTGTGACGGAGACCCTGGTCTGCATCCCTCCCTTCCTTTCGGGAGGTTTGAAGTGGCTGCCTGTCACCTGTCCCACTCCTCCAGGCAGTCAGCTCTCCTCTGGCCAGTCTGCCTCCTCAGCACCCTCAGGCGGCACAGACCCCAGACCCCCACCACCCACAGGCCCACGCTGGCTGGACCAGGCTGCACTGAGAATGGGGCATTAGAGTCAGTGCTGGGTGAGTTAGCCTGGTCCTAGTCCCTGGTTCCCGGGGAGAGAACCTCTAAATCTCTGGAATTTCTGGAATGACAGGAGTGTCTTTGTTACTCATGGCGAGCCTCTGGGATCACACCTATGTGTATGCTAATGAGCTGACTCAGGATTCAGGAAGAGCAAGCATGTGATTAGAGGACCTGGGCTCCCGGCCACCTGACATCTGACTGCTGGTGGGGGCGGGGTGGGGTTGGCTGGAGACAACCAAGCCTACTGAGGGCATCCCCATCCCCGTACACACTGTGGGCACTGGTGCTCGGAGCAGAGGCCTGGTTCATGAATCGATGTCCTGATTTCATGGCAGAAGGCGTGGAAGCTCTGTGCCCAGTGCCCCCCCCCCCCCCCATCTCACCCTTTGTGTCTCTCCAATCGGCTGGCCCTGACTTGTGTCCCCTATTTAAAACTGCGATCATAATGCAGCCTCCCCTGAATCCTGTGAGTTGTTCTAGCTAATTATTGAACCTGGGTGAGTCAAGGGAAGCCAGTTACTCAGAAGTGTAGACTGTAAAACTTTATTATGGCAGCTCCAGCAAACCAATATTCACATATACATACATGCATACATGCACACATATGTATATCTATTGAGATGTAGTTCACATAACATAAAATCCACTTTTAAAGCATGCCCATCAGTGGTTTTTGCTATATCCACAAAGTTATTTTTGTAGCCACACGTCTATCTAATTCCAGAACCTCACCTCCCAAATGTATCCTTTTCCATAAGTAAGAATAATGAGAAGTAGCTATTTTTCACTTAATTGTCCCAACAGTATTTCTGCTAATTTTTAAAACGAGGAAATGCTCTAATAAAGACACTCGAGTGTTCAATCTCTCTCCTCCAGTCATCTCTAAAAGCCGCCCCAGAAGATAGTCTTCCGTCCCATCACCCCACCTGCTGCCCTGGATGAGGTTTATCCCTCTCCCACTGGAACCTCCTTCTTCACTGGCCTTCCAGGAAACTGGAATTAAAGTCACTTTTAAAAACGGCTACTGGCCAGGTGGCTCAGTCACTTAGGGCCTCATCTGGTACATCAAAAGGTTGCGGGTTTGGTTCCTAGGGCACATACCTAGGTTGCATGTTGGATCCCTGGTGGGGGTGGGTGCAGGAGGCAACCGATCAATGTGTCTCTCTCACATTGATGTGTCTCTCTCTTCCTCCTTTTCTCCTTCTCTCTAAAAATCAATAAAAAACATATCCTCAGGCGAGTGTTAAAAATAAACAAAACAGCCGAAACCGCTTTGGCTCAGTGGTAGAGCATCGGTCTGCGGACTGAAAGGTCCTGAGTTCAATTCCGGTGAAGGGCATGTACATTGGTTGCGGGCACATCCCCGGTAGGGGGTGTGCAGGAGGCAGCTGGTCGATGTTTCTCTCTCATCAATGTTTCTAGCTCTCTATCTCTCTCTGTAAAAAAATCAATAAAATATATTTTTAAAAATTCTTAAAAAAATAAAATAAAGTAAACAAAACAAATTTGCTATGTTGTTAAAGCAATGGACTCCTCACACAGGTAACCCCTGGATAAATCTCAGAAGCTAAGTGAAGGGAGCCAGATGCCCACTGCTGCACACTGTCTCATTCCATTTACATAAACATTCTCGAAAAGGCAAAATGATAACAGAAGGCTGCCCGGTCGCTGCCAGGGGTGAGGGCTTCCAAAGGGGGCACGGGGAAGATTTTGGAAACTGCTTTGTATCTTGATCATAGTAGTGGTTTATGAGACTATATGAGTTTGTCTAGTTCAAAGGGTTGTACATTTAAAAAAGGTGAATTTTATTGAATGTAAATTAAACCTCAATCAGCCTGACATTAAAAAAATCCCCCCACCAAACCCACAGTGACTAAGTTCTTAGAGTGCCAGGTTCCCTGCTAAGCTGTGACCTCTACTGCCATCCTATGAAGTGGAACAGTGCACCCCACTGAATACCCCAAGGACCCTGCTGAAGGTCCCTGGGAGGAATTACTAAGATCCAGGAGACCACCTCCGACGTCTGCCACAGAGCTGCCAGCCTCATGTACTTCTCAACAGAAAACAGCATTAAAAAATGCTCAGGTGCCCTGGTTGGGTAGCTTGGTTGGTTAGAGTATCATCCCAATATGCCAAGATCTATCCCTGGGTCAGGGCACGTACGAGAACCAACCAATGGCCCTACCTAGTTTGGCTCAATGGATAGAGCATCAACCATCAGGCTAAAAGGTCCTGGGTTCTATTCTGGTCAAGGGCACATGCCCAGGTTGCTGGCTCAATCCCCATTAAGGGCATGCAAGAGGCAGCTGATCAATGATTCTCTCTCATCACTGATGTTTCTATCTGTCTCTCCCTTCCTCTCTGAAATCAATAAAAATTAAAAAAAATAAAAAGAATCAACCAATGAATGCATAGGTAAGTGGAACAACCAAGAAATGTTTCTCTCTCTCTCTCCCCCACTCTCTTTCTCTTCCTTCCCCCTCTCTCTAAAATCAGTAAGTTAAAAAAACGAAGTGCTTAGGAGCACAGGGGAGAGACTGCTTCTGCAGGTGAACAAGGAAAGTCGGTTCACATGGACTCGCTGTTGGTTTGGTTCCTTCCTTTGAGCCACCCAAGGGCCTCAGGTCTGGCTTTAAGGCGATGGATGGGGAAAGCTGACTCCAGGTGCACGAAGCCCCCTAAAAGCTGATAGCTCCAACTTCCTGTCCCCACTCTGACCCCTCCACTGAGCATCAGGACTGTCAGTCCTGTTACCCACCTGCCGTAGATCCCTCCCTGAAAAGCCCAGTGAATCTCAATCCTAACCCATGTCTGACCAGCTATTTATTTTTAAAATTACAATATATTTTTATGGATTTCAGAGAGGAAGGGAGAGGAAGAGAGATAGAAACATCAATGATGAGAATCATTGATCGGCTGCCTCTTGCACATCCTACGTTGGGGATCAAGCCTGCAACCCGAGCATGCCCTGATTGGGAATCGAACCATGACCTCCTGGTCCATAGGTCAACGCTCAACCCCTGAGCCATGCTGGCGGGGCACGGCCTTACCTCTAAAAAAAAATTTTTTTTTTAAATGTTTGTTTTCTACAGAGAGGAAGGGAGAGGGATAGAGAGCTAGACACATCGATGAGAGAGAAACATCAATCAGCTGCCTCCTAAACGCTGGGTATGTGCCCGCAACCAAGGTACATGCCCCTGACGGGAATCAAACCTGGGACCCTTGAGTCTGCAGGCCGACGCTCTATTCACTGAGCCAAACCGGCTAAGGCAAGGCCTTACCTCTTGATGACGAACTGGATGCTGTTGCTGGCCTCCAGGATCTTGCGGAGCTTGGCGATCCCGAAGCAGTTGGGCCTGCGGAGGGAGATGCCCTCAGGCAGCCCCACCACGAACAGCTCCTCCGGGTACATCAGGAACTTGGAGTAGGGCACCTTGACGGGCTCCGAGATGCCAATGGCCTTGGCTGCAGAGACACAGCTGCTGTAGGCCCACCGGCCTCAACGCCCGCCTCCCCTGTCAGCACGGGGGCCACAGCTGCCAGAGCCCTTGTAGAGTCAGCACTGAGAGTTGAGCCTTTCTAACCTTCCGGAGAGGTGAGGACTGCTACCTAGTCCCCAGGTAGGAGACCCGGAGCCCAGACAGGACGTGCCTCATCACAGGTCACAGAGCTCCAGAGGGGAGGTACGTGAATCCCACACTCATGCTTGGTCCACGCCCTCACACCAGGCAGTGCAGGAGACACCACTGCTGGTGGGTGAGACCTGGCGGTGGCTCCACCCAAGGCCATGTGTCCCTCTGGTGCCAGAAAAGCCCTCCAAAGGGTCCTCGGCCACCAGCAAGAGCCCCAAAACTCTGTGTGGCCTAACACCCTGCTTTGGGGAGAGGACAGATCCGAGGCCCAGGCCAGGTGCTGCCACGGACTAGCTGTGTGGGGCCACAGAGAAACCGTGTCACTTCACCAGGCCTCATTCTCCTTATCTGTAAAATGGGTATTAAGACACAAAGGATTCCGTGAGATGGGACCAGAGAACCTGTGAGAAGCTCTTAGCCAGTGCCTGGCAAACCACAGGCGCTTAATAAAGAACAGCTTTCTATCCTGCCTCCCCATTCTCTCTCCTGGTCTCTCTAATAGGAAAGTCCTCGCTAAGTAACGAGTCCTCCTGAGAACCCTGGACGACGGTGCCCAGGAGGACAGAGGGGCCTTCTTACAGTGGAGTAAGGACCTCTCCCACCTGGGGCTGAGGCGGATGTGAGTGAGCATGAGCCTGCTGACCGAGCAGGCCAGGGTGCAGCATGCAGAGGGTGGGGTTTCCCGGCAATGCCTGTCATCCTGGGTGCCCCATCCCTTTCCCAGAGGGTGCCAGCCCCTCTCGGGCCTCTCCACCTTGTGCCCATGCAGGGAGCAGCTGGGACGGGGCCAGGCCAGGCTGCCCGGCCCTGCCGTTCCTCGCTCACCATATCTCGTGTTGAAGAGCAGCTCCACTTGCTTCCGCAGGGGCCGGATCACATCGCCGTGGCCGTCTGAAAGGCAAAAGCAGCGGGGAGCCTCCTCAGGGGCAGCAGCACCCTGCTTTTCGGCCCGGGCCCCAGCTCTGCTGGCACCAAGAGCGACGCTGTGGTGGGATCTCGGGATGGGGAAGGCCAGGTAACCTATTCCTTCAGAAAAGGCACCCCCTGACGGGCCTGCAGCTCCTGGGCTCCAGTCCTGCCTGTGAAACCCGGTCCAGGGCAACCCCAGGCTGAGCGGAGGTCTGGGAGGTTTTGTGGCCCAAGAATGACAAGGGGCCTTTCTAGTTCAAGTGCCACTCCAGACCAGCCCAGCGAGTTACCTAACCAGTTAATAACTGACACGATGTTTGTTTGTTTGTTTTTTTAAAATATATTTTATTGATTTTGTACCGAGAGGAAGGGAGAGAGATAGAGAGTTAGAAACATCGATGAGAGAGAGTCATCGATCAGTTGCCTCTTGCACACCCCCTACTGGGGATATGCCCGCAACCAAGGTACATGCCCTCGACCGGAATCGAACCCGGGTCCCTTCAGTCCCCAAGCCGACGCTCTATCCATTGAGCTAAACCGGTTTCGGCTGACACGATGTTTTGAATGTAATTAAAAAAGGTCTGCTGCTGCCCTAGCTGGTTTGGCTCAGTGGATGGAGCACCGGCCTATGGACTGAAGGGTCCCCAGGTTCGATTCTGGTCAGGGGCATATGCTTTCGTTGTGGGCACATCCCCGGTGGGAAATGTGCAGGAGGCAGCTGAGCAATGTTTCTAATTCTCTATCCTCTCTGTAAAAAAATCAATAAAATATATTAAAAAAAAAAAAAAAAAGTTCTGCTGCTTGTATCTATAGACACTTGTGGGATACAAATGGCTAACTATCGATAGTAAACACTAAGCCTGCAAATCGAGGATGCTGCCACCAGGTGGCAGTGGACTTTGGCTAACACTGCATGGTTGCAGCTGCCTGGCCTGGTTTGGGGAGGTGACCCTTCTCTCCTCTGACACCCACTCACTCCCTTGCAGGAGCCCACACTCCTGAGATGAACAGGCCCATCCTCACTCACCCACCCCCTCTTCCCCTTCCTGGCCCAGTCTCCTTAGTCTCCTTCTCAGCAGGAAGGGAGCGAGCCATGTTCCTAAGAAGGACCGTGTCTGATGGACACAAAGCCCATTTTGTGCTTTCAGGCCTACATTGTACTTGCTCAGGGAGACTGACCCAGACCTCATCCTGTAAGATCTTTGTAGATGATGTTGGCAAATAATTAAAAAATAAAGGGGAGCTGAGGCCGGTTTGGCTCAGCGGTAGAGCGTCGGTCTGCGGACTGAAGGGTCCCAGGTTCGATTCCGGTCAGGGGCATGTACGTTGGTTGTGGGCACATCCCCGGTAGGGGGTATGCAAGAGGCAGCTGGTCAATGTTTCTCTCATCGACGTTTCTAGCTGTCTATCTCTCTCCCTTTCTCTCTGTAAAAAATCAATAAAATATATTTAAAAAAAATAAAATAAAGGGGGAAAAAAATCTTTGTGGAAAGGAGAAGTGTGTATAATAAACACAAACATGGAAAGCCTTGCTGTTTCCCTTCCAAGAAAGAGCTGCTGTACCTCTGACCAGGTGCCTCCTAGAAAGCAGGTCTGCAAACCTCCCCTCAGGTCGCCCACTGGACTCCCGTCCCCAAATGAGGTGTTGAAGAGAGAGAAAGGAGAGGTGAGGGGCAGGGGAGGCAGCAGAGAGAGGGAGGTGGGCGACGTGTGGAAGGCTGTCAGTGCCTTACCCTCCGCAGGCCGCTCCTCTGGCCGCAGGTCCTCGCTGGGGCCTTTGTCTGAAAGAGAAGAGAGGATGCTGGGAAGCCACGGTCATCGCCTCCTGCACCCTGTGGTGCCAAAGTCAGGTCAGACAGGGGAGGAGCGGCAGGCTGGGGGCTTCGACTCTGGAGCACGGCAGAGTGACCCCCAGACGGGATCAGGGGTCTAGTCTGAGCACAGGCACGCCGCCCTCAGTTCCAGGTGAGGAGGGCAGCTTCAGAGTCCAGGCATCCCTTCGCGTTTGGCAAGCACCCTGAGGGCCAGCCCCGTGCCTGCCCGTCCTTCCTACTACGCTCTACGTTCTGTTCCAGGCACCACGGATACCCAGGAACAGGACAAAGCTCTGTCCTCCTGGGATGACGCAGACATGGTGCTGTTGCCATCAAAAGCAGAATCAGACAAGGGGACAGAGGGCATGGAGCCATCCCAGGTCTGGTGGTTGGGGGTGGGGCTGATGAGGTGGCCCTGGCAATAGCCCAGGCTGCCAGCAATGGGTCCAACCTTGCTTCCAGAGGCTTACTGCTCTCAATAAAAGGGCGCTTACTGTCCACAGGTAGCAAGGGCGCAAGGCAGCAAACGGGAGGTGGCTGCTGAGGCTGCATGGAAGTGGGGGGGGGGGGGTCCCCTGCTGGCTTGGGGGATGTTTTGAGAGGGGAGGCTTCCTCCAGGAGGGGACGCCTGGGCCAGACCCGTGTCCAGGAAAAGCAGTGGGTGGGAGGGACACAGGAAGGGAGGGAGCCCACAGGAAGGGGGCAAACCCTGCAGTGATAGGTTTTGGCTGGGGATGACAGGGAAACTGTGACAGTGGAGTGGGGTGAACGGGCCGGGTCCCTGATGGGTATAGGCCCTCGGCAGCAGCCTTCATTGCTGGGGCCGAGGAAGGTCTGGGGCTTTTCAACATTAGTGACACTTAGACGGGAGCTGTGATTTAGGAAGCTCACTGGCGCCTTCACACGCAGTGCTCAGCCTTTAAACAGCTCCTTCCAGCCCACGACAGGCAGCTGGGCTGGGGAATGGGGGAGCAGGTGGCCCCCAGCTCTGGAGAGCATGCAGTGATGAGGGATGCAGGGCGCTGTCCCCCTGTCCAGAGCTGAAGGACAGGGGCGAATCCTGGGAGAGCTGTCAATGGTCAAGACCCGATCACTGATGGAGGAAGGGAGCCCGCACATCTGGGGTCATCAAATAAGCCTGAGCCTTGGGGCTCAGCCTGGAAGGAGCTGGAAGGTTCTGGAATGTTTCTCTATGCAGCTGACTTGAAAAGGTGGAGGGCCAGCCCTGAGGTTTAGGCCTAACCTTTCCTCAGGGAAATGGACACACTGCAGGGCTGTGTGTGCCGGGTCCACGTGACCGAGGAACTGGCTGTGGGAGATGAACCAGCAAACAGCTTGCGGTCAATGCCTTGGAAACAGCACTCAGCCAATGATGGGAGGAAGGGGGAGGGAGGGTGTGTGTGTGTGTGTGACGTGGCAGGTCACGAACCCAGCTCCCTCTTCTCCCAGCGGCGTAATCTCCGTGCAGGACTAGTGACTCTCCTGGGCCCTCAGCTCAGGTGCCTGCAGCGGTCACACACTTGATAACACGACTGTGCTGCCCCAGCCCCACTTCCCTCCTGGTGGTCCCGGACCTCCTCCCAAATGGATCAATGCCCCACTTTTCGGCCATCTTCTGGGGGACCCTCTAATATGCTGGAGAGCAGGGCAGACAGGAAGTGGGGACAGAGGGACAACGGGGCCACCAGGGATTCCTGGGCAGGTGCCAGTGACAAGGATCAGGAACTGTGTCTATCCTCAGAGGCAGAAAGCTGCCAGGTAGCAATGATGCCGCACCTGGAACCGCTCAGGAGGGGACAGATTCCGGGGCCAGGTCCCCCTCTCCTGTGCCTCATAGTTGGCCAGGTGGCCTGTGAGGCACAGAAAAGGGGGACCTGGCCCCGGAGTCTCACCCCTCCTGAGAGGTCCACGTTGCAGTGCCAATCTGCCTCCTCCCCCCACCCTGCCCCCCGGCAGTAGCAGCAGACCAGAGCACCAGGCCCTGACCCAGCCATTCACAGGGTCCCACACGGGGAGTGGCTTATGCCAGCCTTGTTGGGCCCCCCACATTAGACTAGGTCCTCTCCTGGGGAATCTTTCCGAGGCAGGGGGAGACAAAGAAAAAAAAATTAATTTCCTAGCACACAGGGCAGGTACTTTGGGGGCCCACATTCTAAATAAGGGGAACGTGCCATTTACTCTGAACATTCCTGTCCACAAGCTGACTGCTCCCCATTTCAACACTGGGAAGCCGGAAACAACCTCAATCCGTGACCCAGGGCATGCCGACACGGCGGAGACCACGCTGCTGCACGGCTGTCCACGTGAGGACACGAGGGACAGTGCACACGATAGAGCCCGTGTGCACTTTCCTGCTGTCACACCAGGAGGGAGAACCCTTTCCAACAGGAAGGGGCACCGTGCTGGTCCATGCCCCCCATCCCCTCGTGCCACCAGCCCCTCCGTCTCCAAACTGGGACCCCCATGGTTTCCTCTAATGCTGCTGTGAGCACAGCCAGGCACCAGGGGGCCTCCTAGTGGCCAGGCCACACTGGCAGCTCATCCTGAGCCTCTGACCAGCTAAGCTCCCTACGGTCTCCTCTCACGGCTGTCAAGTCTGGTCACGCCCAGCCGGTGCCTGGCAAATAACATTCCTTCTTCATCACCAAGGGATGAGAACACACACATCACCACTGATTTAGGAGATGAGAAAGATAAAGCACTTAGCTTAACACAGCTTCTGTTTCGATATATATTTTTTTTAAACTAGTGATTATGTTTTCAACACAGTTGTCAGCAGAGCACACTCGACTTTTTGTGTTCTGCATTCTCCTTGGTTGCCTAATTCTAGTGGCTGTGTCAGGAGGAGACCATTAATGGCGCCCTGGTTCTTTCCAATTTCCACTGTCATCAGTAACACAGCTACAAACACTGTGCAGGAAATACTGTCCATATTGCAGATATTTTCCTAGGACTGTATTCCTTGGAGGATCACAGGGAGCTCATTTTCATGGCTCTTCAAACTGACAAACTTCTTTATTATTAGTAGTAGAGGCATGGTGCACGAAATTCGTGTGTGTGTGTGTGTGTGTGTGTGTGTGTGTGTTCCTCAGCCCAGCCTGCATCCTCTCCAATCTGGGACATCCCTCTCACAATCCAGGACTGCTGGCTCCCAACCACTCACCTGCCTGCCTGCCTGATTGCCCCTAACCGCTTCTGCCTGCCCCTAACCACTCCCCTGCCAGCCTGATCAACATCTAACTGCTCCCCTGCCAGCCCGATTGCCCTCAACTGGCACCGCCCCCCCCCCCCCCCCCCCGCCAGCCTAGTCATCCCTAACTGCCCTCCCCTGCAGGCCTGGTTACCCCTAACTGCCTTCTCCTGCTGGCCTGATCGCCCGCAACTGCCCTCCCCTGTCGGCTACCTTGGTGGCCATCTTTGACCACATGGGGCCATCTTGTGTGCTGGAGCGATGGCCAATTTGCATATTACCTCTTTATTACATAGGATTTTCAAATTTCCTTAAAAAGCAACTTGCACATTTGCATTTGCACGGAGTGCGTACCCATTTCCCAACACACTCAACTAAAGTTATATCCGATTAAAAAGTGCAAAAGACATGGCCCTGCGCAAGTCCTCATTCCTCTGTGCCTGTCTACTCGCTGTTTGTTTCCTGGCGCAAACAGATCGCCCACGCACGCCGTGGTGGACCCTGGGATGTACCACCAAGGTCCCCAGCTTGTTGCCTCAGCAGCAGGGACTGTGGTGAGCTGGCAGCCCAGGGCCATTGCCCCTTCAAGGACCACTCTTTTGGGCCAGCCCACATCTCATAACCAATTGAGGAATAAAGACCAGGACACTCCAGATCAACTCAGAACTCTGGGGGGCCATTCTGGCTCCAGAGCCCCCCCGTGCACTTGGTGAGACTGTTGCTGAGGTTGTATCATGGGTCAGAAGGCTTTCCTTCTGCCCGCTGTGCTTCCATCCTTTGTTTTCATAGGTGTTGATTCCAAGGGCTGCCCCCAATAAACATCCCACACATTAAGCTCCATCTCTGTTTCCTGGGGAACACAGCCCATGACGCATATCCTTGGCCTGTCAAAGCCACAGAGAACATGTCTTGAGTGGACTCCCCATTCCTTCCCGAGGCATCTGCTAATTGCACGATCCCACTGCCTGAGGTCCCTTTACCCGACTGACAGTTGTTGCTGGGAGGACCGAGCCCTTCCGGCCGGCACAGGAGACTTCCCTGGCGAAGGCTAGGTCCCCCTGCAGCCCTGCTTTCCCAACCCACTCCTCAGGCCTGGCCCACACTGGGTTCCTTCTGATGACCCTCAGCCATTTGTGCAGAAGTCTTTTCCGGAGCCCAGCCTCCCTATCTGCCACTTGGGGAAAACCTCATCTTGAAGTCCGTTTTCTTTTGTCAGCTTGGCTTCCAACCACCACCACTTCTCCAGTGTGCCGGACAGGGGAGTCTCAGGGGTCGGCTGCGTGGGCTCTAACTGCCAGGCAGCGGAGACCTGCCCTTGTCCACAGCAGCTCCGCAGACCCTCGCCCCTCCTTAGTGACGGGACTCTCAGTCCTCCTCTCTCTCCACCTCCAGACCATCTCCCTGACCGAGACGGAGCCAACGAGGGGCGGAGAGGTTCTGCCTTTATTCTGTCACCGACTCACACGACACCACCCACTGGGGCCTGCGGGAAGCCTCTTTACTTATTTTCCCCAGTCACCTGTGTTGCGCCCAGCCCTGTTCTTACCAGTCATCATCTCCATCCCATAACCAGAATCTTCCGAGGGTAGATGCCCGGGCATCGAATCCGTCATTTCCTCAGAGGTTGGCGATGGGTCTGGAGATAAAATCCAAATGATAAGAGAACCTTCTGCTTGTCCCACCCCGTCACGGTCCCTCAGGGGCCCACGTCCAGCATGTCCACAGAGCAGGACCCTTCAGGAAGCCGTGGCCCGAAGCTCTGGGGGGGGCAGCCTTAATGACCCGAGGCCAGGCGGGGGCCCCGGGGGCCCGGAGCCGTGGGCTCAGTGGTTCCGCCATGCAGAAACCTCCCGAGGCTGAGCATGCCCTCCTCACAGACGTGGAAACGGAGGCGTGGAGGTTCCAAGTCTGGAGTCAAACTCAGATCTTCTTACCCCCGTGACTGTTCTTCTCCTCCCTCCTGCCTCCCACATCCCAGGGAAGCCAGGCCAGAGCGGTCAAGGCGGGGGGAGGGAGCCTTTAGGAGGCCTGAGTCCGGGCACGCAGGGCAGATGTGGCTGCAGAAGGCAGATGCGATACCCCGCCACCCTCAGGACCGAACGAGAGCACCCTGAGGGGTCGCCCCCATCTAGCTGGGAGGGCAGAGGGCGGTTCCCGTAGGAGCCCTGCAGTGGGAGTTGCTCGACTCCTGTAGGTCCAGGTTAGAGCAGCAGGGGCCGCCCTTCAGGTGCCTGTCCCTTACCTGGGATGGTGACCTGAATGATATCCAGATCCTCCGGCTCGATTTTGATGGGCCTCAGCCCACCCAGCTCCCCGGAGGTTCCTGGGAGGAGACAAGAGATCCAGTCAAATGTGGACATGAGCTTGGCTGGGCCAGGCGAGTCGTTCCAGAGCCTTCTCTTGCCTGTGACTGGCTGGTAACACCCAGGAACAGCTGTATCGGCTCCTACGCTCCTGCTCAGACCAGGAACAGAGGGTCAGGCAGGGCGTCGGGCCAGGCCTGGAGGCTCTAATTTACGGACCCGGAAACAGGGGCCCACAGAAGAGAAAGCCACTTGCCATGGACATCCTAGGAGGTAGTGGTGATGCCAGAATCCAGGTCTCCCAACTCCCTCAGTGCTACAAATGCCCTCGGTCCCTCCCTGCCCCCCACCCCGGGAGCTCCCAGCTGTGCTGCAGCGCCTGGTGCTCTGAGGCCTGGGGGTGAGGGGCAGGGGTGGCAGAGGAGTGGCTCTGAGGCCTGGGCGTGGGGGGCAGGGGTGGCAGAGGACATTCACTAGGACCCCAGGCTCACGATCTGAGCTCCTGGGGGTGGGGGGGTGCCGAACACTGCGGGGTCCCACTCCTCCTTACCTGGCCCACAGTCTTCAGAGATCCCGCTCCGGTCCGACCTGTGGGGAGGAAGCCGAGACATGACATGGCACCAGCCCAGCTCTGCCCTCCCGGCTGCCAATTCAGAACGCACCCCACACCACACTCATGCCAGGCTCCACAGCACAGTTCCTGGCGCCGGGGACAGGAGCCTGCTTGCCCTCTTGGGGTGAATGGTCTGGGTGCCCACCTTCCCCACCAGCGGGGAGTCCTGAGGCCTCGCTCTGGCCATGGTGGGAGCTCAGTTTAGCACAGTAGGGAGGATGACCAGTGCTTTCTGGGAGGGCTGAGACCTATAGCCTAGAGGGGAGCTGGGGAGCAAAGCCAGGCAGGGTCCCTGGGATGGGTGATTCCGTTAATTCACGGAGCCTGGAGGGGAAGCTGGGCTGGGCACGGGGACTGGGGCTGAGGGGCCCACCCCTGTGCGGTGGCACTGGTAGATGGTGACTGGGCCACAAACCGAGTGCAGGGCCTGCGGACACACGGGCAGATGCCTGGCCATCAAGGAAGGCTTCGGAGACCAGGGGACACACAGCTAAGTTCCCCAGGTCGGCGAGTTCTCCAGATGGAGAAAAATCGGCGGTCCCTGTCCTCCTCCTCTGTCCCTTTATCTCCCTGCCACCCTGTGGGGGGAGGACACACTGTGTGTGTCAGGGTGTCTAGGCGGGAAGCCCCTGTGCCTGTGGAAGGCTTCAGGGGGTTGGGAGGCTCTGGGCACAGCATCCCGGCCCAGCCCTAGGCCTTGCTTCTCCCGCAGGTGCCACCACCTCCTCCCGAGTCGGGGTGCCCATGGGCTGGGGGCTGGGGTGCGGCCTTACCGAGCAGTCCCTGCCAGGTCGAGAACGGTGGCACGGGAGACTTCTCCAGAGGTGTCCTCTGGCGGGCTGGCGGGCTCCAGCTTCGTGGGGTCTTTGGTAAACTTGTTCCCTGGGTGGAGAGTCGAAAAGGGGCGGGGAGGTCAGGGAGAAGGCTCTCCAGCCTCCCTCTGCCTGGGCAGGGGCCTCTGCGTGAAGCTGTTGGGAGCACCCTGGGGTGTGGTCTGGTCTCGGACCCTCCTTCTTGCAGGCTCCACGGCTGGCTGGGCCAGGGTGGGTTCTAGGGCAAGATGCCTCCCCTGGGAGAAGGAATAAGGGCCGTGGTGCCAGGGGAGGCCAGGGATCTGAGAGGACTGGGAGGGAGGAAGGAGCTGCCAGCAATGACGGTCCTGACCACCCACAGGCTGCTGGGGCTGAGGGAGCCCTCGGGAAAGGGGCTGAGTCTCCCTGAAGGCCGTGCCATGGGACCGTTCTCTCTCTCTGAGTTACCCCGGGGACCTAGGGGAAGGTGCTCTTATCACACCCACCCAACAGATGTGGAAACCAAGGACCACAAAACCCCGCCGACAGTCACAAAGCTAGTGGGAGGTAGGGCCAGACCTGGGACCCAGGTACATGGCACCCCAGCCTCTGTGCTCCCTTTGTGGAACCAGGCAGAGTGGGCCTCCTCCTTAGAGGCCTGCTTTCTACTGGCTACAGCCCGGGCTCGGGGGCTACCTACATGCCAGGCCCCACTACTCACTAGCTGGGCTTCGGGGAAAAGAAAAAGAAAACACGTCACAGGGCTGCGGAAAACGCAATTTAATTAAAACGAAGTATTCTGACAGCTTAGAAGAGTACCTGGCACACGTTAATATTCAGAAAACATTAGCTTTATTGTTTGCTATTCAGGGCATCCCCGGTCTGCAGGGGCTGTCTGCTCCCGGGAGCCGGGGGCCTGTGCCTGCCTGGGCTGCAGGAGCCACCCCCGGGCCCTCTCTGCCCCCGGCCCAGTGCAATGGCAGCTCAAGCGCTCTTGGGGGCATCAGCTTGGTGATGGTAAAGATAAGATGGTACCCACACATACCTGTGAAAATTCGCTCATCAAACATCCTAGAGAGAGAGGAGAGACGGGCATGAGAGCGGTGCAGCCCCAGGGCTCCCCCAGGCTCAGGGAGCCGGCCTCCAGTCCCCTTCAGTGACGGTCACTTGAGTCCCACACGCACGGCTACAGCTGCAGACCTGGGCCCGGGGCTGGCCGCATGAGGGCAGGAGAGGGTGTGGTCCAGCACAGCCAGATACCCAAAACCCTTTCTCCTCAGCCAGGGAAGGCGAAGGCAAGCCCCGGGTGGTTCTGGGTGGTCCAGCATGGTGCCTCAGGGGCCGCCTCCAGCCTGGGCTCCCCTTGGCCCCAGCTGGTGGGTGACTCCCGCCTTTCTCACCAGGCCCGGAGACCTGTGACTCAGGGACAGTCCTGGGGAGAGACCCTGCTCCCAAGAAGCTGTCTGTTGACTGCATAAGCCAGGCCTGTCATCAGGTCACAGACAAGCAAGATGACACCTGGGACCTCTCACGTGTCTCAGGAGCCCGGGGGCCCAAGCAGAAAGGGAGTCGGGAAAGACTTCAGGGGAGGGATGGCAAACTCAGGTGAGATGGCTGAGAGGTTCTCCAGATAAAGGCACGGGGTGAGGGTTAGGGACCGGGGGAGGGGCAGGGGAGCTCCACCTGGCTGGTGCTCAGGCACATGGTCTCTACCCTGTGGGCAATGGGGAGCCCCGAGGGGCACAGCACCATCAGATCACTCCATGCTCACCCAGAGAATGGACTGGAAGGGGATGGCTGGGTGGCTGGGTCAGTCAGAGACTCCTGAGTCATGCTGGTGAGAGACCTAGAAATTTGGCAGGAAAATGAGGATGGAGGAAAGGTGTCCTCAGTCCCAACCAGGTGGCACCCAGGGGGTTGGGGAGCCCTGGGCAGTGGGTCTGGGGCCTGCAGTCAGGCCTGAGTGCCAGGGGCCAGAATTGGAACCTAGGCCGTCAGGGCTGGTATGTTTAACTACTACTTCATAGAACAGGGAAGTGAGGTCAAAAACAAGAACTCGTGTTTACTGAGCATGTCAGGTGTGTTATGTCCACTTCCTCAGTTTACGCTGGAGAAAACCTGGGAGAGGAGCATCATCGGCCCGGTTTTTATAGAGGAGGAAACGGAGGCTCAGAAGAGAAGTTGCTGTTCAAGGTCATCAAGATGTGAGTGGTCAACCCAGTTGGTGTGGCTCAATGGTTAGCATCAACCTATGAACCAAAAGGTCATGGTTCGATTCCCAGTCAGGGCACACGCTGGAATTATGGGCTCGATCCCCAGTGGAGGGTGTGCAGGAGGCAGCCGATGGATGATTCTCTCATCCTTGATGTTTCTATCTCCCTCTCCCTCTCTGAAAGCAATAAAAATACATTCGAAAAGAAAAAACGATGTGAGTGGCTTCAAGCCCAGTCATCCGATGCCAACGCTGCCTCCTCCAGGAAGCCCCATGGGTTTGCTGCTCAAATGCCACTGAGTCTACACGGGGGACATATGGAAGTGACCGCCCCTCATGATGGGCAGTGGCCTCGGGGGGCAGGTGGGGACTATGCCTGCTCTTTCATAAAATCTTCAGGGGAGCCCAGGGAAGGGCTGAGCGTGTAGAAGAGACATGCTGGTAAAGAATTCAATGTTCTGGGTTAAAGGAGATGAAACACACGGTCAAGCACATCAGGGGACACTGGGATGCCTTGTTTTCTTCTCTCCTATCCCCTACCCAGGGGGATAGACAACCGCAACAGGGCCTGATGCCTGACTACAGTGCACCTCCAGAATCATTCGCGAAGTGGGCTCCACAGGAGGGGCTGTACGAGTACAGGAGGCGGCCGCCCAGATGCAGATGCCAGCAAGGAGTGCGCTAATGAAGGAAGGGGGCGTGGTCTTTCAGAGAAAAGAAAAACCGGAGAGCAAGAGCAGAGGCCCTGGGATGGGCGTGTGCCTGGCACATTAGGGAAGCAACAAAAAGGCCCCAAGACTGGAATGAGCAAGCAGAGGGGGGAGGGAGGGGGATACGGTCCCAGGTGAGAAAAACAAAAGCAGGCCTTGAAAGACAGGCAGGTGGGAAGCTGGTCCGGGTGGAGGAAGAGCTTCAGCGAAGGCCTAGGGCAGGGGAGGTGTGGGAGGGCAGAGCGGCAAGAAGGCTGGCTGTATGGCTGCCAACAGGCCAGAGAGCGTGACCTGCCTCCTGAGGGCCAGAGGCAGTGAAGGCTTCTGGGTGGGAGACCCACACTATCAGCCCTGACCTCCAGAATCTTCTCCTGGGAGGCACTGAGAGGCCCACCCACTGTCCTGGCCAGCGGCCTCAGCCTGTGGTCCTCGCCCAGGCCTCGAACACGAGCCCTCTTCTCTTCTTGTCTCCACCGCTCTCTTCCCTGAGATCCCTTCCTGGCCCGGTCTGACAATGTTCAGATTTTTATCTCTAACCCAGGCCTCTCTCCAGAGCTCCAGGCTTCTGAGAATGTCATCTCCGGATCTTCCCTGAGTTCACATATCCACAGTGAACTCCCTCGGAGTGAACTCCCTCGGAAACATGAGGGTGATCCTTGTCCCCCTGCTCCGCTCCCCGCTCCCACATTCCATCCACCAGCAAACCCCATCACAGCTGAGCATCTATCCCAAATCCCGCCACTTCTCCCCCTCCTCCGGCCACGCTGGCCTGGCTCACTACTCAGCCTCCCCAGCTCTGCTCACGTCTCCTCGCAGCCAGAGGGCCTCTGGCAGCCCTGCAGGAGTCCAACCCACCGCCCTAGAACTATGCTTAACCTTTGCTCATGCCCTGGCCTCCTTGCAGCCCTGGGGAACCCAGACTGTTCCCTTCCGCCCAAACACTGGCCAGCTCTCCATGGGGCCCACCCTTCTCAAGCTCCCAGCTCTGGCTTAACACATGGGGCCTTCTCTCCGAGGCCCCCTGACCACCCTTCGTCGGCTCCCTCAACCCGTGTCTCTTCCTCCCATTACCCAGTTTATTTCCTAAGCTCCAAGAAGTCAGAAGGTATGAGCCCAACTTGGCCAAGCATGTGTGCATGCGTTCATTCATCCACTCATTCCGCAGACCTGTATTAGGCATCTACTACCTACCAGGGACTGTCATGGCCACTGGGGACTCAGTAATGAACCAAACACAGCCCTGTCCACAGTCCCTGCTTGCTTTATAGTCTAGTGGCAACCAACAGGCGAGCAGGCACATGAGTAAATGAATGCACTGGGCTCACACTGCCAAGGGGAAACACCCCGGAACAGATGCCCGGGGAACGACCATGCAATGCTGCCTGGAGGCAGGGGGCTGGCACCCTCAGCCTCTGGCCTCCCCTTTACCCCTAACCGTTTAGGAAGGATCATCCAGGAAGTCTGGGCATTGCCTGGCACAAGCTTGGTGGTGATTCCAGTACCGGGGAGGGCAATTCTCCTGCTAGCTAGGAGGGCCAACCCTCTCCCCAGGTAAGAGGAGACCACCCAGCTGTTAGGTTCAAGGGTCAGAATTCTCTCTCGGGTCTGCTTGATTCTCTCTTTAGGTCAGAGAACCACTTCATCCAGTCCCTGCCCCATCGTCGCCTCCCCAGGGCCCTGCCTCAGGCCGGCTGCTGCCCCTGCCCAGCCTTCACACCCTGATGCCTTGGACCCAGGCCCCCTTGCAACCCACCCAGCACCTCTTAATGATGAAGTGGATGCTGTGCCGCTCCTCCAGGATCCGCTTCAGCTTGGGGACCCCGTAGGTGCAGGGGCGCTTGAAGGGGATCTTGTCCGGGATGCCCACGATCTCCACGGCCTCCGGGTCGCAGGCGATCTTCCGGTAGGGGACGGGGACCATGTGGTCCAGTCCCAAGGCTTCCGCTGGAAGGCAACGGCAAGGCTGAGTGCACGATGAAGGCTGCAAGGCACCCAGGGCCCCAGGCCACGGTCACCATCCCTCCCACCACCCGACACCTCTGGCCGCCCGGTCGTGGCCATGCTGAAATGTCAAATCACATCCTCTCTTAGAAAATGCCCACGGGCTCCCACCTCACTCAGGGATGGTCCACGTCCCACCTGGGCCTCCGAGACTCGATGGGACCAGGCCCCCTATCACCTGGGGCCTTCCTCTCCCCCCTCTGCTTGCTCATTCCAGTCTCCGGGCCTTTATGTGGCTGCCCCACCCCAGGGCCTTGCTCTTGCTCTCCTGTTTATTCAGATACTTTCCTCGCAGATAACCAGATGCTTCCCCCTCTCCTTTTCTCCAAGTGTCGTCAGATGGCCCCTCATCAGCCTAAAACGGCCCCCTCCACCTCTCCCTAGCCCACCCCGCTTTGTTCTTCACCAGAGTTTATCAGGACCTGCCATTGTGAACATGCTCATCTATTCACTGGCGTACTGTCTGGAACCCGGGCTCCCCGGGAGCAGGGAGTCCTTCACTGCCCGCGTCTGGGACCGAGGCGGGGCTGGCACACCACAGTGCGCCTGGCGTTTCCACCGAGGGAGTGAATGGCTGCAGGAAGCCCCCGGCTCCAGGTGGCTCTGGCAGGAGGCTGCTGGCCGCGCAGGTGTGCCTCCTCCTCCAGCGAGTCCTCACTCTTCAGTGACATAAATGAGATCCGGGCCGGAAGCTGACAGCTTTGCCGACAGCATTACAGACAGAATCCGGGCTCCTGAGTGGTTACTTGTTCTTTTCCTCGGGACTATGAGGTTTGGTCTCGTGCATTTCAGTCATTCACCTACACCCCAGCTCTCATTCACTCACCAAACACTACTTGAACACCCACTGTGTGCTTGATGGCACTTTATAAAAAATTTTGATTTTTAGAGAGAAACATCGACTGCTTGCCTCCCATATGGTCCTGGGCCAGGGATTAAACCCGAAACCTAAGTATGTGCCCTGACAGGGAATTGAACCCGAGACCTTTTGGTGTATTATGACTCTCTGACCAACGGAGCCACCTAGCCAGAGCATGATGGTACTTTCATGTGTGCCCTGTTCTCCCCAAGGCCTGGGAGGTCTCAGGAGATGAGCTGGACCGGGTGTCCACTCTTTAAAAAAATAAAATAAAATAAAATAAAATAAAATAAAATAAAATAAAATAAATATATAAAATATTTCAGAGAGGGAAAGATAGAAATATCAACAATGAGAGAGAATCATTGATTGATTGCCTCCTGCACACCCCCTACTGGGGATTGAGCCTGCAACCTGGGCATGTGCCCTTGACCAGAATCGAACCTGGGACCCTTCAGTCCGCAGGCCGATGCTCTATCCATTGAGCCAAACCAGCTAGGGCCAGGTGCCCACTCTTGCCTTCTGACTCTGTTCTCTCCCAAGGGACCCACATCTCCTCACTGTTCCCTGGGCCCTTCCCCATCCTGGCCTGTCTGTGTCCCCACCAGGCTTTCTCTTCGTCCTGACAAGGACCAGCCCTGAGCTGACCAGGGCAGAGCAGAGCTGTGTGTGCCCTTCCTGGGACACTGCCGACATTGTTTCCCTGTTGGTGCAGCCCAGGCCTGCGTGGGCGGCTTTGGCAGCCACATCCCACTGTGAAGTCACACTTAACTCACTGTCAAGTTAAACCCTGGAAATCTCAACAGCTGTCAAACTATTTCTTCCCCCGACCCCCGCCTCCAACATCACCAGCCACGCCCCAGCTCCAGTGCTTGAGCAATACGTAAATTCCTCGAGTCTACGTAAACTCATCTCCACTTGGGTTCGTCAGATGTGCTGTCTCTTCAGCAGCAAGGGGCTCCAGTGGACGGAGGCAGGACCCTGCCCAGCCTCCAGCTGCAGCAGGCCTGGGGAGAACCAAGCCATCGTGCACCATCCGACATCCTTCGTCTAGTCTCTCCGTTTCCCAGGTGACAATATCCTTGAGGCTCCCTAACAGCTGCCACCCCCAGTTCTTTGTTATTTTTCTCTCTGTACCCCAGCCCCATCACCTTCCCCAGGACTGGTGGCTGAAAGGACAGAACCAGGAGCGGAATCTATTCACCCGGGGTCTGCAGGATGCCTCAGGTCGCCCAATGTTCTCACCCATGGGATCCCCCCATATTCACGGGGAGCCTCCTCCTCCCCTGGGCAGCTGAAGGGAAAGCTGAGAAAGGGCAAGACCTAGACCACGCAACGTCCCACATTCCTGCGTGGATTTGGCTGTGGTGGGTGCAGGTGCTCAGGTCTAGAAAAGGTTCCACATTCCGGAAACATCAAAAGCCCACAACAGGCCTGAACGCTGGTGGCTGCGTGCCAGCGAGGCTGGGGCAGAGCCCTCTCCAGCTCTCCCCACCCCCTGCCTCCCATCCAGTCCACACCTGCCGGGGGCCTGGAGGACTCAGGTGCAGACAGCCCTCCGGTCCCAGGTAGAGGGGCGGAGTGGGTGGGCCAGCGTGGCCACATCAAAGGCACCCAGCCTATCCCAGACGCCTTACTAAGGCCCCTGGGGCCCGCTCAGCCCCACCCCAACCTGGAACTGTCAAGCTCCTGTGCCCAGGCCTCCTCAGCCCCAGCCTGGATCAAAGGGCACCTCCTCCGTGAAGCTATCAATGACTCCCCGAGCCTGCTGAGAACTCACCTTCCCTTGGGCTGCCTCTCTCAAAGGGCTCCACACACTGGAGTGTGTGGCTGTACGGCACGGCCTGCTACCAAAGACACGTCTTCAGCAATTGCTGCAACACCGTGTGAGCAGAGCTGGCCTGGGAGCCTGGCACGAGGCCGGGGCGCACAATGTGCGAATCAGTAAATGTGCATGAAGAGAAGGGAGAAAGCGAGACTGATATGTGATATAACAAGTGTGTATGTGGTCTTCAACTCTGGTTCCCGGCGCAAGGGCTCACAAAACCCTTGTAATCTCCTAAGCAACAGGGGTGGAAGGGCATCCATTGTTACTCATAAGAAGTCCCTTTCTTTAAAAAAAATATATTTTATTGATTTTTTTACAGAGAGGAAGGGAGATAGAGAGCTGGAAACACTGATGAGAATCATTGATCAGCTGCCTCTTGCACGCCCCCTACTGGGGACGTGCCCACAACCAAGGTACATGCCCTTGACCGGAATCGAACCCGGGACCCTTCAGTACACAGACTGACGCTCTATCCACTGAGCCAAACAGGTTTTGGCAAGAAGCTCCTTTCAACCCTACCTGACAGGACTCTAGAGGCCCAGCTAGCCAGGCCAAGTCTCAAGAACAAGGGGGACTGAGCCTCCAAGAGATGCAACGGGCAGGCCAGGCAGAGGGCACAGCACAGGCAAAGGCAAGGAGGCAGGAAGGGGCACGGCGCTGTGGGGACTTTGCAAGCAGTCATTTTTCATTTAACTGCCTGCCTTCCCCGCCCCCCCTTCCCCTCCCAATTTGCCTGCCTCCCACAGGTGAGTCAAGGCCTGGGGCTCTGCCATCAGCCCCACCCCCAGGAGAATGTGGAAGAGAAATATTGACACAACCACCCCCTGCTCAGACGGGAGATGACACGAGCGCGGATGGCACGCGGGTGCCGGCATATGGCGCTGGCTGCCGTGTTAGGGAACACAAGTGACTGCCACGTAACGAGTCGCTCAGCACGCCACCGGGGCCACCCCGCGGCCGCCGCCCACTCACCATATCGGCTGTTAAACAGGATCTGCACGCACTCCCGGAGCGTGTTGATGTCCTCAGTTTCCTTGATGAAGGCGTCCCACTTCTCTATCAAAATACAGGAGGTACGAGTGAGGCCCAGTCAGAGACGTGGCCCCGCGGTCCGGCGGCCCCGGGAAGAGACAGACGCCCCTGCTCCCGGCCGGGGCTGTGCTCTGAGACAACCATTCTCTCTCCACAGCCCGGGACCTGGGCTCTCCCCTCCACGCCCCTCCAGCCGCTCCCACCGCGGGCCCTGACGCCCCAGCCTCCCCCAGGAAGCGGCCCCACACACGTCCAGGATGCTCTGACCGTCTCCCCACCGGCTCTCTGGGCTCAGCCGGTCCGTCCTGGGCTCCTGCTGTCCCAGACCGGTAGGGAGCTGGGAGAGCGCTCCCTTGGAGAACAGAGAGGCTGAGTCCTGACCTCAAAGACCAAACCTTCACGCTTCACACACTCAGGGGTCTCACCTAGCCTTGGTGTTGTTGGCTTCCCCTAAACCCTTAACCCCACTGGCCTCTTCCATGAAAACAAAGCCTCTGCCTCAATTTAACTTGAATAACAAGAGTGATCATTTGTCATTATAATTACAAAGAGACATCTTTTTATTAAGTGCTTATCCGTGCTAAGCACTTTATATATGCATATATATATGTATATAATATCCGGTTTCATCCCTCGTGACAACCTTTAAACATAGATATTATTTCTGTTTCAGATGGGAAAACAGGCTCAGAGATGCTCCATGTTTTGCCTGAGATCACCCAACCAGTGCCCAGCGAGATTCTATCCCAGCTTGGACCCCTTGCCCTCCAAGGCGGCTCCATCTGGACACCCACACCCTCCCCTTGCCAGGGATCAACCTTGTTTGGGGCAGTGGGGTTTCCAATCTCATCCAAGGGGCCTAGGTTTTCTAAAAAGAGGCTCTCACTGCAGGTGAGGCGGAGGCCTCCACCAGGCAAAACTGCCGGGAAGTCTCCATCCCTCTTTAAGGAAGCCTGAATTTTCCTGCTCTCGGTTCTGGGAGGTGCTTTCCAATCTGTCCGCATTTTTTTTCATACTCCTTGTTTCCAGAGGTGGCGCTGAATCCCTCTCCCTCCCTGTGAGTGTGGATTGGATCAGGCTCTGGCTTCTAACGGGTAGAATGTGGCAGACGTGACGTGATTTCTGAGGCCAGGCCCTGAAGGACATGTGGCTTCCTCCTCCCTCTCTCTGGGATCACTAACTTCAGGAAACCAGCTGCCATAGTGTGAGGACACCCAAGCAGCCCTGCAGAGGCCCGAGTAGTGAGAATAGGCCTCAGAGCCACACCACTGAGCTTGGAAGCGGTGATTCCAACCCGTCAAGCCTTCAGATGATCATGGCCACAGCCGACACTGCGACGATGACAATCTTATGAGAGATCCTGAGCCAAAACACCCAGATAAGCTGCTCCTAAATCCCCATCCTACAGAAATTTTAAGTTATAAATGCTTGCTGGTTTAAGTGAACTCGGGGGGCGATTTGTTATGCAGCAACACGTGACTATTACACTCTGGTTATACTCACAAGTCCCTTGTGCAGAGCTGTCCTCCTCTCCCTCACAAAGAGACGGCAGATGCATTTCCATTGTATCAAGCACCACCCTCAGCCCCCGGCCCCCACTCCGGCCAGGGTGCTGCCACAGGTGCTGTCCTACCTGACTTGTCGTGGACGATGGAGAACAGAATGCGCTTGGAGGCATGGACGTTCTGAATGAGCGGCCCACCAGGCCCGGGGGGCTTCTGTCCTGGACAAGGAAAAGAAAAGGTACAGGTTCGAGGTGGGCCCCAAAGGGGTCCCCAGATCTGGCCTCAGAGCACAGGCACTGGCTCTGGGGTAACAATGTCACCCAACACAAACTCCCCAGAACGGAGTCCTGTATTCATGAGCTCTAGGCAAGTTCTCTAACCAGAGGCCTGAGACATTCTTGAACAGAGTCTGCCATCCAAATAACAGATCAGGGAAGGCAAGATGTCTGAGGTCACCTTTTATAGGTGGGGACAAAACAGGCAGGTAAATCCCAGCTCCCTGCTCAGCCAACACATTTGTATGTATACGGGCATCCCTTTGTCTCCTTAGAATAATAACTAACGGCCTGATGCACAAAAATTTGTGCAAGAGTAGGCCTTCCTTCCCCTGGCTGCTGGCACCGGCTTCCCTCTGGCACCGGGGACCCGGGCTTCCCTCTTCGGGCCACCGGCAGGCACCCAGGACCCGGGCTGGCTTTCCTCTGGCCCCGGCTTCGTCAGGAAGGACATCTGGAATGACGTCCGGAAGATGTCTGGTCTCATTAGCACTTTACCCTTTTATTATAAGATAGTGAACATAACTGATAAGCACCCACTACGTGCCAGCAGTTCTCAAACTTGAGTGTACATTGGAACCACTTAGTGGATTTGTCCATTTGCAGACAACTGGGCCTCGCCCCAAAGCTTCAGATGCAGCCGGACTTCGGTGGGGCCTGAGCATGTGCATATCTAAGAAGCTCTGTCATTTAATCATGATCACAACAGCTCAAGGTAGGCACTGCTGGCATCCATTTTACAGATGAGAACACTGAGGCTCACAGAGATAAAGATTTGCCCCAGGACACTTAGCCGCTAAGTAGAGAAGCCAGGATATGAACAAAATCTTTCTCATATCCAGCTGTTCCTTCTCTGACCCTTCCAATATCCCTAATCCAGTAGGTATATAGTAGGTGCTTATTAAATGCATGTGACTAAGCTGGGACCGGTTTGGCTCAATGGATAGAGCGTCGGCTTGGGGACTGAAGGGCCCCGGGTTCGATTCCGGTCAAGGGCATGTACCTTGGTTGCGGGCATATCCCCAGTAGGGGGTGTGCAAGAGGCAGCTGATCGATGACTCTCTCTCATTGATGTTTCTAACTCTCTATCTCTCTCCCTTCCTCTCTGTACAAAAATCAATAAAATATATTTGATAAATAAATAAATAAATAAATGCATGTGACTAAGCATGTTTTCCATAGATTCCTCTGGGAGTCCTCTCGGCTGCCTCTTGGTCCCAGGCCAAGGACACTGTTCACAGAAGGCTGAGTGTCTGACTGGGTCTAAGCCAGAAAGCCATTTGCCCTGCCCCAGCCCTGTGCCCTGACATTCCTCCTTCAGTTCTGGGAGGGCCTGAACACCCTGACTTGCCCTAGAGGGTGCCCTAAATGAGCAACCTCTGTCCCACCCCAGACCTGGGGCCCCAGCCGGAGCTTACCACAGCAGTCCGAGAAGTCCTGGGCCGAGGGAGTCTTGGGCTCAGGCCCAGGCCGGCTGAGGCCCAGGTCGCTGGGGGCCAGTGGGTAGGTGGGCACCTCCTGCTTGAGCTCTCTCACGGCGTGGTTGGGGAGTGCAGTGCTGTACAGGAAGCTGGCCATGGAGGAGGAGGTGGCGCTGGGGGGCAGGTCCGGAGGTGGCCCCTTGGGGGCCTGGCCATGCAGGCCACAGTCCCGAGACCCCTTGGCGATCAGGGAGACACCGTTCAGCTCCACCAGGGCCTTCGAGTCCCGACCGCCGTCCTCGAGCGGCCTGGGTAAAGGAGACGAGGACACACAACAGCTTTGTGCACCTGACCGCTGGCTACGTAACGTCTGCAGCCCCTCGGCCCTCCCTCCCTCCGCAGAACACGGCAGCCTGTGAGGTATGCAGGACAGGAGCCATTCCCCATCCTACAGGTGGGGGTGCAGGCCTGGGGTGGGCGTGATGTGCCTGGGGCCCCTTGGCTGGGCGGCCGGAGAGGCCAGGCTCGGCCTTCTGCCTCGGTGTCCCAGTCCACCAACAGGGTCCTTTCAGCTGCAGTTAATCCCTCCACCTCCCATCCTACCCCTCTTCCTCCTGGCCCGTGTGCGGACAGTGGGGCTGGAGCACGGACGGCCCTCGATCTGCCTGGCCGCCTCCACACTCTGCCCGGCCGCCCTGGAGCCTGCAGTGCTGCTGCTGCTATTTCCCCAGCCACGTCTCTCCCGGCCTCTCTGCACCACAGCGATCCCCTGGGAGGCCTCCCGTGACTAAACGCCTGCTCAGGTGACACTCCTTGACGGCACTTCCGCCTCACCTCCACCATCAGACTGGCACCTTGTCCAACCAGGGTCCCCTGTGGGGTCCGAAGGGATCCCACGGGGCTGAGCCAGCATGGAAGCAGGTCCCCCTCCTAGCCAGGTCCCCCTGGCCCAGCCTTACGGTGCAGCCACCAGACCCCGGCCCTCTCCCAGGCGGGCGGGCGGCCTCACTCACCTCTTGAGCTTGAAGCGGATACGGTGGCTGTGCTCCAGGATGGCCATGAGGGCCTTGGGGTCATACTCAGCCGGCCTCCGGAAGGCCAGGCCCTCGGGCAGCCCCTGCACGGCCAGCAGCCCCGGCTCCCTGAGTAGCCTCTCGTAGGGCAGTGGCACCACGCTGGCCCTTCCCAGGGCCTCGCCTGTGGGAGGAGGGATGGAGGAGAGGGTCTGGTGTGAGAGGGCAGCCAGGATGGGCGGGGACCAGGCCTGCTCCAGAGCTGGGGCCGTGTTGAATGACTTTCCTTGATGCTGGGTTCCCAGGAAACAAGAACTCCCATCAGTTCCTTAAATGCAGCTTTCACCCAGAATAACCCCAGAGGCTGGTGTGTGTGGGGGGGTAAGGACGCATTGTCTGGGGGCCAGGGCTACCCACGGAGACATCTGGATGGAGGGAAAAGCAGGCCTGGGGCTGTGGGCATGAGGTGAGGTGAGGAGGGGGTGAGAGAGATGAGAGAGATGAGAGAGAGAGAGAGAGAGAGAGAGAGAGAGAGAGAGAGAGAGAGAGAGAAGGAGAGAGATTGCAAGAAAAAAGCCATAGGGAGGAAGGGAGAGGAGAATGAGAGGGAGAGAAAGTAAGGAAGACAGGACGTAGAGAGGAAACAGAAAGGGGATTCAGAAAAAGAGAGGACAGACCGTGAAGATGGAAAGGATGAAGGAAGGGGTGAGTAGAGGGGAGCCAGGCTGGAAAACGAGGGGTGGGAGGGCCAGAGGCCTGGGCTCAGAAACATCTGTGGTTTCCCCTTTGCTACAGCCCTCACCTCAGAGACACCTCTGATTCTGCTCAAGGTGGGGAAGGAGGCCAGGGCAGAGCGGGCAGGGGCACAGGGGACTCTGGGCACGAACCCTGTAGCTGGCAAGAGTGTCTGCAGTGGCGCAGCCAACCAGAGTGACAAGTCCTCTTGTCCCAGGGTGGCCACAGGGTGCTTACCCAGGGCCCCTGGGCCCCATGTCCCCGCTTGGCCACCTCCTCCCCTCATGTACCCAACAGCAGGCGCTACCTCACAGACCTCTGATCCTCAGAGCCAAGGAGGAGCGGGGAAAGTGAGGGATAAGTGAGGTAGGATCTGCCCGAGGTCACCTGGGGGGTGTGAAGGCTACCGCTGGGCCCTGACTCTGCAGCCTGACCCTCCCTCCCCAGCCTCAGAGGAAAGATCTGGCTGCCAGGGAGCCTTCACTCAGTCACTCAACAAATGCCCTCTGAGCCCTGCTGCTGCCCCAGCCCTGACCTGCAGGCTGGGACCACAGAGACAGCAGGTGCATCCCTGACCCCGCTGGGAGCAGCTGGCCTGGTGAGGGGAGAGGAGGGCACAGTGGGTAGCCAGAGGGGGCCCCAACCAGTCTGTGGGGGGCTTCCTGGAGCTGAGCCTGAGAGGAAGAGGGTGTCCACCACACAGAGGAGAAGGCAGTCCACAAGGGCGCAGCGGTGCGAAGGTGAGGGGCATGGATGGAGCCGGGGTGTGCGGAGAACAGGAAGTGGCTCAGGAGGCGGGTCAGCCCAGCCGGCCCAGCTGGAGAGGTGGGCGGGGAGGGGCAGTGGGGGGTGCTCAAGCCACCCTGCAGGCGACAGAGCACCCCCAAAGGAAGTGCAGGAAAGAGCATGGTCAGACGTGTGCTGTGGGAAGTGCCCTTGGTCACGGGTAAGGAGGCCTGGGGCCATTTCTGGGTGAGCGGTGGCAGTGACGCCAGGGCCTGGGCGGGGGCAGCGGGGATGGTGGGTCAGCACACGGGCTGGCGAGATCCACGCCCAGAGACGCAGGAGGAAGGCGCGCAGCACTGAGTGCTGCCCCGGGTCCACAGTGGGCAGAAGGGAGCCTCCTCAACTGAGCGGGCACTCGGGCTCCCACCCGCCGGGGGCCCCCAAATGGAATGAGGAAGGATCTTACTATAAAGAACATCAAACACCTCCTCTACCATCTTCCGCAGCAGGTACACATCTGAGCCGTGCTCCAGGGTCGACCGAGGGATGTTCCGGCCGCCGGCCTCACCCCGAGGCACCCTCTTGTGGTGCTCTGCCTCCGGCTCCTTCCACGGGGGTCCTCCTGAGGGCACAGAGCACACGGAGGGGTGGTGAGCACCTGTCTCACCCCCTGCCCGGAGCTGGGCTGTCCCTGCCCTGTGCTGAGCTCAGCAGCGGGCCACCCAACACAAAGTGCAAACGAATGAGTGAATGAATGAATGAATGAAGAATTAATGAGTGAGCAAACCTTGCGTAGGGCCAGGCTAGTCACAGGGCCCGAGTCTCAACCCTGGCCACCCCTAACCTGCTGTGTGACCGTACCCAAGTCTCCCTCCTTTCCGGGCCTCAGTGTATGAGCTCTCACTGGAGACCAGCTGGCCTGGCTCAGAACTGGGGCCCAACAATATCTATTCCATCTGTCTCCTTCTGCGCTCTGACACTATCGCTCCATGTTAAACAACCGAGGCCCCGTTTTCTGCTCTGCCAAATGGGGAGATGACGAGGACCCCACCAGGGGGCTGAGAGGCTTGGGAGAGGCAGGTTCATGCAAGGCTGAGCTAGGGCGTTGGCTTGGGCGTGCCCGTGGGTCCCTGGGCGGGGAAGCTGCTGGAAACGGTGCAGGAAAAGAGATGAGCATCCAGCGGCCCCCTCCCAGCTTGCAGCCTGCTCTCCTCCGAGGATCTGTGACGCTTGAAATAAACCAGCCCGAGCTCCCGGCGCTATAAATAGTGGCTCTGCCTGGCTCCGGTGCGCCTTCGTCAGGCCCCGGCCTGGCTTCCAGCCTGGCCCACGGGGGACCACAGACCCTGCCACTGCCCACCCTGCCCTGCCCCGGCCCCCGCCCTCCCTCGGACAGGGTGCCGGCGCTGAGGGCTGCGTGGGATGGGGAGGTTGGGGCAGCGGCTGGGCCCCAGGAATGATATGTCCAATGCTAAGGGGCGGCTTTCCCCGAAATGGCTGATCCCAGAGTCCAGATCTGGGGTATAAGGAAAACGCCACACTGGTAAGACAACAGCTGGCAGGTCCTGAGTGTAAACCCAGTGTCAGGCACTGCTCTAAAACAGTGTTTCCCGCCGGGACCGGTTTGGCTCAATGGATAGAGCGTCGGCTTGGGGACTGAAGGGTCCCGGGTTCGATTCCGGTCAAGGGCATGTACCTTGGTTGCGGGCATATCCCCAGTGGGGGGTGTGCAAGAGGCAGCTGATTGATGACTCTCTCTCATCGATGTTTCTAACTCTCTATCTCTCTCCCTTCCTCTCTGTATAAAATCAATAAAATATATAAAAAATAAAAAAATAAAAAAATAAAACAGTGTTTCCCAAACTTCTCTCATGACGAGAATCACGTGGCGGAGTTGTTAATCTACAGACTCCTGAATCCCAGCTAAGAAGTGCTAAACTATTAATAGAATTTTTGGGAACATATAGGTAAAATTGTATACTTAACTAGTGCTCTAAGCTTAGAAGCGCTAACCTAGAATTTCTGGGAACATATATAGGTATAATTGTATTCTTTAAAAAAGTATACAATTTTACCTATATGTTCCCAAAAATTCTGGTTTAGCACTTCTTAGTTGGGATTCAGGAATCTGTAGTTTAACAACCCCACCAGGTGATTCTCGTCATGAGAGAAGTTTGGGAAACACTGCTCTAAGTGCTTGCCACATATTAACTCATTTCATCCTCAGACCCACCTGTGAGGAGGGTAGCCCTGTTCTCCCCTTTCACAGATGAGAAGGTGGAGGCCAGGCACCAGGAGGCAGGGCCGGGATGTGGCTCCAGGCGTCTGACGCCGGGGCCCGCCCTCAACTCAAGAGCTCAAATGCTCCACGGAGTGCTGGCCGAACGCACTGGGGCCAGACCTGAACCCTGTAGGACCTACAAATCCCCCAGAAAGGTGAAGGGGGCCCCAGGCGCAGGTGGACATTTGGGGCACAGGAGGCTGGCATGGTGTGGGGAGCAACCACAGCAAAGGTTTGAGGGACGGAGGGGCCTAAATGGGGCCGGAGGCGGGAGGCTGGGCGGGCACCGGCCAGGTAGAGGAGAGGATGAGGACCTTCCCGGTGGGGCAGAGGCAGCGATGGGGAGGGACACAGAGCTGGTGAACCAGCATGCAGGGCAGCGCAGCCGGGGTAAGAAACGCGGGGAGGTCAGACGCAGCGGCAGGGCCTGGGTTAGGAGGGGCCCTGAAGGCCTAGCAGCGTTGAAGGGTTGGGGGCCTCAGAATGACTCCTCTGTCTCGGGGGCTTCCGGCTCACAGCCCGGAATGCCGGTCTCTAAGAACCCTGTGGCAGGGCTCCGGGGCTTCCCGTGCTGCATCCCCCGATTCCGAAGGAGTGTAGCAGAAAGAGCGTGGGTGTCAGAACCAGAGGCCTGGCCTCAGCCCCGGCCTCACTCACTCGTCGGCCATGTCCCCGGGGAAGTGGCTTATGCTCACGGAGTCTCAGTTTCCTGTTTGTGAACCAGGGGTGAGTGTAACTGTGCCTGAAGCCTGCACAACCCCTTCCTGTCCAGGGCGTCCCCCAACAGAGTCCCCCAGGGCTGTTCTGGGACCCAGTACCCTGGCCCTGCAGAGTCCCGGGGTACTCACGGCAGAACCTGAGGAAGTCTGATTGCAGCTCCTTCCGTGCGGTCAGGAACATCCTCCCCTTCTCGGTGCCCACCACGAAGGCGCTCTCATCGTGCACAGCGACACAGGCCACCTCTGCGTTCAGCTTGGAGAGCGCCGAGCACTGCAGGGGAAGCAGGTGGCGTGAGCCGGGGGGAAGGTCCCCCATCCCCGCACACCTTCACGCCAGCTTTGGGGGTGGGATGGGAGTTCTCCCCCAGCAGCTCCAGCGAGCAGTCACTCCTCCAACATTCTCAGTCTTAGAATCAGAAGTAGGAACCAATGAATGACCCGGCCGCCCCCTCCCCTCCCGCCTCCCACGCGCTTGGCCAAGGTCAGGGGGAGGAGAGAAGTTTACGGAGGCTGGAGGAAGCCAAAGGCACAAGGCCTCTGGCCTGCCTTCTTCCCAGGTCCTCCCTGCTCTGGGGCGGGCTTCCTCTGTTAGGCCTGGGCCCAGCCCCAGGGACAATCCTGTCCTGGACTCTCTATGCCCTGGATGAGGAAAAGGTAGGATGGGCCCCAGGAGAACCAAGGCTCAGACAGATCTAAGCTTCCATCCCACTCCAGCCTCTTCCTGTTGTGGGCCTGGGGCAGTCACACCCCTCACTGGGCCCGTTTCCAAGTCTGCAGAATGGAGGCCAGCAGCCCGGCGCGAAGGCCTTCAATGAGTTTGGTTGTGGGGATTCAAGGAGGCCTTGTTGGCGGGAAAGAATTTCTAAATGGGGCATCCGTGTGGACATCCAGGCAAAGGGGTATTTTGCAGCCTTAGAGGTGAGATTGGCGGGCTCACTGCAAGGGGAGCCTTAACACGGGCGACCCTCAACCAAGACCATTAACATCTCAGGCCTCTGGCCTACGTCACCAGGAAAACCCTGCCTGTCACTTTCTGCATGCAGTTGGTGCCTGGTAAATGCTGGGTTTTCCGAGCTAGGTAGTGCTTTGCTGACAGTCAGGAAATCTGGCTTCTAATCTCAGCTCTGCTGCTGTGTAACCTAGACATGTTCCTCACCCTCTCTGGGCCATAATCATGCCTCTCTGTCCTGAAAGGGCAGAGCAAGGCTATAAGCAGAGCTTCCCTTTTTGGTGAAGAGCCAACCCTATGTGCACTTAGTGGTTATCTCGATGCTGGCCTTGAAAACAACACAGTTCTATCCAATGGAAAAATGCACCTGGCATGGCATTGAGATTATGGGCATATCTAATCTCTGGCCTACAAGGTCATATAGCCGAGTTTATCTTCAAACAGGCTAAAGCAGGCTAGAAAACAAACATTTTTTTAAACAGCAGTTGTGTTGTTTTTTTTTACAAAATAGTTCCAGTTGCCTAACCCTCCCTTAAATCAGCCAATAAGAATGCAGAAGGCCAAATAAGCTAAGTGCATCCAGCCACCTGTGTAACTGGACCCTGGCCCTCTCCCCGTCACCCAACCCTAAGCCCTGTAAAGAAGCTGTACTTTCAGAACTCGGGGCTCTTTGCATCCTGCCGCTGCATCGGTAGAGGCTGAGAGACTGGGCTCGAGCTTGAATAAAGGCTCTTTGCTTTTGCATCGGACTCGGCTCCCTGGTGGTCTTTGGGGATCTTGAAATCTGGGCATAACAGTTCAGCTCCATCCTAGAGTTGCTCTGGAGAGGAAGCTGGGACATTGCAAGGCCAGCAGGCCAGTTTCCACTGATCCCTTAGTGAGGGGGGGTTTGTTTCTACTCTCTAAGATTAAAGCAAAACCTGCCACTCCCTTTCCCCACAGCAGGATATTAACAAACAGGATCAACAGATCTGGTTGTTTCTAACAAAGGAGGGGCTGTCAGAGTTGGAGGAGAGCCTTGTGGGGTGGTCACATTTCAGCTGACGGAGCTGAGGCCATGGCAGGGAATCGACTCACCCAAAGGCACCAAGAATGGGGGCCGTGAGGAAATGCCTGGAGGAGGGTCTGAAACAGGTGTGGGGTGGGGTGGTGAAGATGGACAGCACCTGCCCACACCCTGCGAACCACCTGAGGGCCCTGGCCCTGAGCCCTGGAGGATGCCAGCGTTCAGTCACTTCCCAGCAAGTGCCTTGTCACCCGTGAAGGTCCCTCAGGAAATCCGTTAAGGGCCCAGGGGCTGGGGGAGTTTGCCTTCTGCATGTCACCAGGCTAGCAACAGAGTCATCGGCTCCTCCAAGCTCCAAGCAACCTCGGAAAACCCTCTAGACCAGTGCTGCCCAATAGGATTTTCTGCCATGATAGAAATATCCTATTTCTGCCCTGTCTAATGCTGTGGCCACTTGCTTCATGTGGCCACTGAGCATTTGAAATGAGAACAGTGTGACTGAGCACCAGAACTGTTTACTGTATTTAATTTTAGCTAGTTACAATCTAAGTGCCAATTGCCTTTTGTGGCACGTGGCTGTGGTGATGGCCGTCCGTGCCTGTGTCAGCGGCGTTTCCACCACCAGCAGGCTAATCCTGCTGCAGGCCCGGGGCGGCTCCCTCAGGAAGGCGGCTCTGCGCAGGGCAGGGGTTGCACCCAGCCACCTTTCCCGGGGGGAGGGGGGGGGGGCTGCTGCCTCTGGCCCAACACCACTTACATTGCTCTAGAACCACCTACAGCAGAACAGCCTGGGAGGAGGCCCTTTGTCCTAGGGAACTGACGACTTGGCACCCGAATCCACTTCAAAAAACTGGTCATACTGTGTGACTTTAGGTAAGGTACTGCTGTCTCTCAATTTCAATTCACCATCCTAAAATGCAGATTTAAACGCACACACACACACACAACACCTGCCCACCCTCCATCATAGAGCTTCCCCCGGAAAAGAATAGAGGAAAATTGTATTATTATTTTCTCATTTACTATTAAAGACTTAGCTGTGTTGGCAACGGTGCCAGAAGAGTGATTTACGAAGTCCCATCTCCCTCTCCCAGCCCCAAGACGCAGGTACAGCCATTGCTGTACCACCGGATTACAGCTTTCTAACGAACCGCTGCCCACACATTACCTTCCAGGTGCTGGGAGGGGGCCTGTGACCATGCCAGCCACGGGCCTTGAGTAGGAGTTACTGAAACGAGGAGCAGGGAATGAGCACTGGATGTTTATGTACTTCATCTCATTGACCCTCCCGCCCCCTGATGCAGGCAGAGGCGGGACTCCAGCTCCATCGTCTGGTTGTAAAGCCAGGTGTCCCACTCCCCGGGGTGGGCCGGGGTACTCACCATGGAATCTAAGGCAGACACAAGGCTGGTGATGATCTCGTCTTTGCGGGCGAAGGCGGAGTTCCAGCGGTCAGGCCCACAGCCATTGGTGGGGACGTCACAGCGCTTCCCCAGCAAGGCCATGGTCACCTGGGGGGGGGGAGCAGGCAGAGGTGGGTGTGCGCCACGGGGAGTGGCCGCCCCGACTGGCTTGGCCCCAGACCTCAGGGCTGTTTCTACTTCCCACATAGAAACAAAAGACAAATGAAGAGCTGGCCTTCTCTTCTCCTAAGGCCCTTATATGCAAGATGGAGCACACCCACCCCTTCCCCTCCCCCCCAAAGTCTGCCGCCTCAGAGCTGAGCCCAGGACCATGGCCAGTCTGTCCAGCAACCCAACCGTCAACTCTCCCCATATGCACTGCACTGGCTATCGCTCTCTCTGGCTCACACACCTATGTGGCTCCCTACTGCCCACAGTCTGGACTCGGCTTGGTATTCAAGGTTCCTGGTCCAGACACCCATGTTCCGGTGTTCTAGGTATCATCATTCCCAAACATACCCACATTCTTTAAAAAAAAAAAATAAATAAATTTTTTTTAATTGATCTCAGATAGAAAGGGAGAGGGAAAAAGAGAGAGAGAAACATCAATGATGAGAATCACTGATCGGCTGCCTCCTGCATGCTCCACATTGGGGATCGAGCCCGCACCCCGGAATTCCCTGACTGGGAATCAAACCATGACCTCCTGGTGTATAGGTCAATGCTCAACCATTGAGCTACGCTGGCCGGGCGACATATCCACATTCTTGTCGCTCCCCAGCTGTCACAGGTCCCACTCTCCCTGGCCCATGCCTTGCCTGGTCCCTTTGTCATCTGTGGACTGCCTGCTCAGCTTTTAATTGTTGCCTCTGCTGTGAAGGTACCCCTCTCTCACCCCACTTCCTGCCCTCTCCTGCCCCAGCTACCCTTGCCGTCTTCCCACATGTCCCCAAACTCCTCCATCCAGCTCTGTATCAAGCCACAAGCTCCCCTAGGGAAGGCCACTGCCTCCAGGCCTCTGAACCACAGTCTACTTTCTGGCTGTCAGGACTCAGTCCCAGAGGTACAGAGGTTGCTTCATCTCAGACCTGGGTTTCTCACACACAGGACTTTGTCCCCTCGTCATAAGCTCCTGGAGAATAGAGCTGCATTCTCCCCGTCTCTGGGGCACCCTCAGATCAGGGCCCCCCTATCAGGAATTCCCTGGGCAGGAAACTGGCCTGCTGCCCCTGTACCACCCAGCCTGTCCTGGGCACCCACCAGATGCAAAGGTCAGCCTCCCTCAGTTCCGTCCCATCCTGCCTTCCCCTTCCAGACGTCAGCACACATGTCCAGGGGACCCGCCCACAGGCCTCCTTAAGGCCAGTGCCTTCCTTAGAGGCAGCTGCCCCCTCGCCAATCGGAGCCAAGGAGAGGGCAGAGGTTAGCCCGTTTCCGTCTCGGGGCCCAGCCTCCTCTGATGCTCTGTGCACGGCCCCGGCCCCCCATTCAGGGAGTGAGTGGGGACCAGGGCTGCGGGCCTTGGAGGGAGTTTGCCCATCCGCCTCCTGACTCCCAGCAGATCGGAGTGAAGGAGGAGTCTGTGTACATGACTAGGGATGGGGCGGGGGCAGGGAACAGCTCTGGGCAGGTGAGAGCTGGTCTGGCACCTTAAAGGGTGCCAAGCCCGGAGTGTCTTCTATCGGTGCAGCTGCTCCTGTACCTCAAGCTCTGTGAGGACAGGGACCAGTCCGCCTGTCACCGCTGCAGCCCCAGAGCACAGCTCAGGGCCAGACGTAGGCGACGGACCAAGGCCTGTGGTCCACACCAAGGACTGTGGCCTCTAAGTGGCTCATAACGCCGATAACATGAAAGCAAATGTCTGAGTCACACAGAACAAGGTGAGGGGCGTCCGACCTCAGTCACAGCAACATCCAAAGGAATGAGGGCCGCGTCAGAGCTTGGCTCTGGCCTCAGTGTTGGCCGGAGCCTACAGTTGGCTGTGGATAAATATTGACTCTAACAACTGGCCAGTCAGCAGTCGGCCAACATGTATATTGGGTTCACCTCTAAACGTTGATTAAATGTATTTCTTCCCCTAGACTGCAATATTATAGGCGTTCAGAGTCCGCAGTGTTAAGGATGCCGAGGGTACGAATAAGACGTGCTAAAGGACCAAGAGGCAGCCAGCACCAGGCTGGGGGCCCTCTTGGCTTGGCCGGCTGAGAGGGTGCCTGTCTGGGGTGCTTGTCCCCGCCCCTCAGCGACTCCCGCTTCGCCAGTCCCCTGAGCCATTCCCAGAAAGCCTCGCTGCCAGCCTCCCAGCTGCTGAGTCCAAATCGAATCAGGGCAAAGCAGGAGGCACCAGACAGCACTCCAGCTCCAGCCTCCAGGTCGCCCCAGCCAGCTGCGGCTCCTAATCCACTTAGGAAGGATGCAGGCAGTCAGAAAGGGAGGAGGATGGAGGGAGTGAAGGGAGGCTGGGCGGGGGCCATCCCTGACTCGTTGTCTTGGCTATTTGGGCTCCCAGGACCCTCTATCCTATGAACCAGGAGGTCAATGGTTTGATTTCTAGTCAAAGCACTTGCCTGGGTTGGAGGCTTGATCCCTACCTAGTAGGGGGCGTGCAAGAGGCCACTGATCAATATTTCTCTCTCATCATGGGTGTTTCTCTCTCTCTCTCCCTCTCTCTCTCTCTCTCTCTCTCTTCCCTCCTCTCTCTGAAATCAATAAAAAACATTTAAACTCCCCCACCCCTACCCCTACAAAAAAAAAAAAAAATCCAAGAGGCAGTATGAGAGATTGCAACTCCGGCCAAGGTTAGATCACGAAGGAACAGTCCTGGAATGGAGGCGGGGGTGGGGGGGGGTGGGACCTACAGCACTGGTAACACCTAGACAGCCATCAGCATGTCTGGGGTGACCATCACTGTGTGTGAGTATGAGAGGACCTGCCTAAGACCCCCAGCCACTGGGTCGTGGGGATGAGGTCTGTCCTGTCTGTCTGTCTGTCCCTTAGCTTGGTCTTTCCTGTTGGGAGGACACCTCCTCCCACTCGCCAGGACATGTGGAACAGGAAGACCAGTGATCAAATCCACAGCTGACACGCAACCAAGCTGATCAACCCGCCCCACGGTTTAGCCCAGAAACCTATCAGTCCCAGGCAAAGCAGGGTGGTTGGTCAGCCCACCACGCAGGCAGGGGCCAGCAGGACCAGGGGCCCCAACGCCCGGCTCGGCCTCTGAGAACAACGGACAGACACCACAAAGAAGACAAAGTCACGGACATGAGGCCCTATCTTCAGGTCCCAGATATTCAGCTTCACTGAGGGAGGTGACGGACAGGCTTGGGACAGAGGAGAGCCTCCGGCGGAGGGGCAGGGCGCTTTATCCGGGAAGATTACAGGAGGCAGCGGCTCTCCTGATGTGCCTGAGGGTCCGGCAGGGGTGTGTGTGCGTGTGTGTGTGTGTGTGTGTGTGTGTGCACGTGTGTGTGTGTGTGCGCGCGCGCGCGCGCACGACAAAGCCCCAAAAGCAGAGCTGGAGCATGTGGAGAGCAGGCTGGGATCCTGGTTTGTGGGGACACAGCTGTGTTACACCTGCCCGATCACCCAGCTTTCCAGCCTCACTGCCCATCTGTGAGGGGGGCAGGCAGGTAGCACAGCAGCTGCCAACATCTGCCAGCCACACCCCGAGATCCCGGGCCCCAGAAGCTCTCCGGTGGCAGGTCCCCAGCAGGCCCAGGACGACGGACTGTGAAGTTCCCAGGGGGTCCTGACGGGCAGCCAGGTACAGGTTGATCTCTGGGGACATTTCCAGCTCCCACATCCGACTCCCGTTCCCTCAGCTTCTCCTGGCTGCTGCCTCCCTCCCTCGCCAGGATTCCTTGCCTGGACAGTGGCAGCTTTCTGGCCGCTGAGAGCTGGAGGTCAGCCCGGTCCCGGAGCCAACAATTAGCCAAGCGCGAGTGTCCGTGTCTGAGCCACTGTGGCTGCTACCCAGGCAGGCCTGCCTCCAGGGGGGAGGTAAACACGGAGGTCAGCCCGCAAAGCCCATCCAGCCGGCCCGGGGGCCAGGGCGGTGCACATCCGATCCCAAACCCCCTGTCACTCAGCCTGCAGTCCAGGTCAGCAGGGAGGTGACCTTGAGGCTGTCCTGTCGCTGCCCATGGCCTGGACGCCAATGGGAAAGGCGCCTGGGGCAGGTGTCACACAGCAGTGCTCCTGCAGACCGGGATCCCAGCTCTGCTCTCCACACGCTCCAGCCCGGCCTTATGGGGCTTCCTTCCCCCTCCCTGCCTACATACACACCCCTGCCAGGCCCTCAGGCACACCAAGAGAGTGGCTGCCTCCTGAGCTGCCCCAGGGGCCCAGCAGAAGTGAATGGGGCTGATGGGGTCAGAGGTCAGGAGGGGTGCAAGAAAAAAAATCCGGGTGGCAGTCGAACCTCTTAGCTGGGCTCATTTACAAACTCCCTTTCCTCACCCACCATCCGGGATGCTCCTTTTCATTCAAGGGTTCGACAACCCCACCCTCCCCTTCTTGCCCTGCTTCCACTGCCAGCTCCTTCCTCCTCTCCCAGGCTGGAGAGCCACCCTCATGCCAGCCAACCATGGCTGCCCACCAGGGGCCCCTGGCGTGGGGCCTCGCCCTCCCCCTTGGAGGCTGCCGTCCTGTTTGTGAGCAATCTGACATCCATGGCCTCCACCCAGGGAGCGCGGCTGGTCAGAGGGAATGAAGAAAGGGAGGGTACAGACACCAAGTTCCAGAGGCAGGGCATTCTGGTTCAAACCGAGTGACAGAATCAGGGCGGGATTTGGGACTCAGGACCACTCCTCATCCAGAGGCATGTGGCTAATGGTGGGACCCCAGGTGCAGCGGCCGGCCAGCTCAGACAGGACCCGAGGCAGAGTCTGCGCATATGATGGCCAGAGCCGCGTGCCAGAGCCTCACAGCCCAGGGACTCAGAGATGCACACAGAAACACTAAAGGGCCCAGGGGCCAAAAAGCAAGTGCCCCAAAACTGGTTTGGCTCAGTGGGTAGAGCGTTGGCCCGTGGACTGAAAGGTCCCAGGTTCGATTCCGGTCAAGAGCATGTACCTTGGCTGCGGGCACATCCCCAATAG